TGGTAATCTAAAAGAGATCGAAATTCTAAGTCAGATTACCACTGTTTGTATCATACACTTTATAATTTTGTTTCGGTGAAGTTTTTCCATCATCTTTCGAGAAAGCTGCTATGTTGATATACAGGTTGTCTACACCCTGCATATTAATATGGTGGTAATTGGGCATTTTTTTAATTTATTTCTTTTTTAAGCCGCCAATTCCGTTTATCAGAGCACCCTTTTCGGTATAGTAGGGAAACTACCGGAAAAATACATGACAGCAATAGTCATTGGAAACGAATTTAGCGGCACATTTACCAGCATTGTTAGCATAGTATCGAAAGTGGCGTCCACTAATTATAGAATTGCTGCCATTTACTATTTCCTGATATCTATCATTATATTGGGCGTTTGTTTTGCTTCGTTATTCATGATAGTAAATAACGTAAGGTTACAGTTTATTATAAATGCGCCTGTTTAAATAATACCGCAAGAAATTTTAGGATTTCTATAAATATTACGACGAAAAAGAAAACGCGGGTGAACACAAAGGCGAAGAATTACCACCCTACTGGCAAATTTTCAAGACGGCTTTCCCTCAATTGTTGAATATCATTTTAGTATTCATCGTTACACTGACAGTGTTCCCGTCTCTGGAAGCCGGTAAGAAGTGCATCCCGTCAAAGAGTTTATTAACCAAGATATTCGTTGGTTTTTTACAGAAGTTTATAAAAGCGATCCAAATTTCTTTATACCCGATGAATATTACGCCGATATAATGTGCTTTTTGACTTTTAACATATTCGCCACGACTGGAAGCTTTCTGCCAGTCTTCTTCGTTTGGGTATTTATGCAGTTTATTTACTGAGATATTTCCGAAAGATCAATTACTTTTTAGCCGAAACCGAAATGGGTATGGATACCGGTAACACTGAGATTCTTGTACATACCGCTCTTGCTGTTTTGCAATTACCAAATCCAACAAGCTGAAAGAACCTTACCGGTATTATTCAACGATTATGTTTTCTTCATCTTGGGTGCGACCATGGCCTTGACCAATGGGTATTTTGCCACTATATCATCGATGTACGCGCCAAAGTATGTACAAAACGTTCAATATACCCCATGCAAACACCCATTATTGCTAAATTCTGCTCCACAGGACGGTAGAGGAGAAACATTCGATGGTTGCTGGTATGTTTTCAGGAGCATCTTTCCTAACTGGAATTAACATTGGTGTATGGATTTCCTTCATTTGGCCCACTGTGGCGACCAGTAACTTTAAAATACCCAAAGTTCCAACTTCTGAAGACCTGTAAAACTTGTACAATCTCCTACATTGATTGTTTTGTCGAAATTTATGTAGAACACTTCTTGGAAGGTTTTTTTTCTGATGTAATAAATTCATTATATGATCGGAAATTTAAGCTATTTATTCGAACAATACAGTTAATTTTGTGTTTTGTAAACTCAATATTGGAAGAAATTTTTGTGTTTTTGGTTATACATCTTCCTAACATGTATCTATGAGCATGTAATTTTATTTGTGCTCACACTGTATATACTACAATGTCAATTTCAACGAAAGTCAGTTTACTAAACAATTTTAATATTATTCTGTACGAGATATTAAAGTTTTTTAATCATGACTGACACCGACGGACCTAAGGACAAATTCTACATCGTCTATTTTATATGTTTATTAAACGGTGTTGGGGTGTTAACTGCTTGGAACACATTCATCAATGCCCGAGATGTAAGTAGAAACATTTAAGCTACATAAAGGAGTGTAATTAATTCCTCTTTCTAGTACTTCAAGGAGTATAAGCTATCAGACGATTACATTGGTTACCATTACCCACACGGGGATCATTTCATGCAATACTTGGCCTTTTTTTCGAACATTCCTGCGCTGGTTTTTATGTGGGTGAACATTTTTGTTCGACTGAAAAGCGCCATTATATGGAGGATCATCTTGGGCATTGGACTTATGATAGTTATTATAGCATTCACGCTTGTGATGGCTGCGGTCAATACTAGTCATTGTCCTAATTTCTTTTTCGTTGCAACAATGATTTCTGTGTTCGTTATGAATTGTAAGAGAATTGGAGTTTTATTTTACATGTAGTGATGATTAAATTTCCATTCAAGCCGCCAATTCCGTGTATCAAAGCACACTTTTCGGTATAATAGGAAAATTGCCGGAAAAATACATGACTGCATTAGTTATAGGGAACTACGTTAGCGGTACATTGACCAGCACTTTTAGTCTATTATCGAAAATAGCGGCAACAAATTATAAAACGGCAGCTATTTATTATTTTATGGTAGCTGTTATAGTATTGGGCTTCTGTTTTGCATCGTTTTTTATTGTAGTAAATAACGTAAGATTACATTACATTATACAAATGCTCCTTCTACATAATACTGCAAGAAATTTTAGGAATTTTATAAATACTACGACGAAAAAGAAAATGCCGGTGTAAAAAAAGGTGAAGAATTGCCACCTTATTGGTTCATTTTCAAGACAGCTTTTCCCCAATTGTTAAACATTATTTTAGTATTTACGGTTTCGATTTCGTTGTTCCCATCTATGGAAGCAGGTAAATAGTGTACTCCATTAAAAGTATTGTTAACATTTATAATCGTTGGTTTCTTACAGAAATTTTTAAAACCGATCCCAATTTCTTTATACCCGATGAATATTACGCCGATATAATGTGCTTTTTAACCTTTAACGTGTTCGCTATGATTGGAAGCTTTTTACCAGTCTTTTTCGTTTGGGTATTTATGCAGTTTATTTACTGAGATATTTCCGAAAGATCAATTACTTTTTAGCCGAAACCGAAATGTTTATGGATACCTGTAACACTGAGATTCATTTACATACCGCTCATGCTATTTTGTAATTACCAAATTCAACAAGCAGAAAGAACTTTACCGGTATTATTTAATGATTATGTTTTCTTCATCTTGGGTGCGACCATGGCCTTGTCCAATGGATATTTCGCCTCTGTATCATCTATGTACGCGCCAAAGTATGTATAAAATGATTAAAATATATCCTTCGAACACTTTAGTATTGCTAAATTCTACTCCGCAGGACGGTAGAGGAGAAGTATTCGATGGTTGCTGGTATGTTTTCAGGAGCATCTCTCCTTACTGGAATTAATATTGGTGTATGGATTTCCTTTATTTGGCCCACATTGGCGACCAATAACTTTAAAACTCCAAAAATTCCACCTGCTATTGAAGATCTGTAAAATTTCCTTCATGGATTGTTTTGTTGAAATTTATGTAGAACGCTTCTTGGAAGGTTTTTTTTTTCTGATATAATAAATTCATTATATGATCGGCAATTTCAGTCATTTATTTGAACAATATATGTTAATTCTGTGTTTTGTAAACTCAATATTGGAAGAAATTTCCGTGTTTTTGCTTATACATCTTCCTAACATGTAACTAGGAGCATGTAATTTTATTTGTACTCACACTGTATATACTACAATGTCAATTTCAACGAAAGTCAGTTTACAAAACAATCTTAATATTATCCTGTATGAGATATTAAAGATTTTTAAGCATGACTGACACAGGCGGACCAAAGGACAAATTCTACATCGTCTATTTTATATGTTTATTACACGGTGTTGGGGTGTTAATTGGTCGGAACACATTCAGCAATGCCCGAGATGTAAGTAGAAATATTCATGCTACATAGAGGAGTGTAATTAATCCCTCTTTCTAGTACTTCAAGGATTATAAATTATCAGACGATTACATTGGTTACCATTACCCACACAGGGATCATTTCATGCAATTCTTGGCCTTTTTTTCGAACTTTCCTGCGTTCGTTTTTATGTGGGTGAACATTTTTGTTCGATTGAAAAGCGCCATTAAATGGAGGATCATCGTGGGCATTGGACTCTTGATAGTTATTCTAGCATTCACGCTTGTGATGGATTTGGTCAATACCAGTCATTGTCCTGATTTCTTTTTCTTTGCAACGATGATTTCTGTGTTCGCTATGAATTGTAAGAGAATTGGAGATTTATTTTACATATGGTGTTGATTAAATTTCCATTCAAGCCGCCAATTCCGTGTATCAAAGCACATTTTTCGGTATAATAGGGAAATTACCGGAAAAATACATGACTGCATTAGTTATAGGGAACTACGTTAGCGGTACATTGACCAGCACTTTTAGTCTATTATCGAAAGTAGCTTCAACAAATTATAAAACAGCAGCTTTTTATTATTTTATGGTAGCTGTCATAGTATTGTGCTTCTGTTTTGCATCGTTCTTTATTGTAGTAAATAACGTAAGGTTACATTACATTATATAAATACTCCTTCTTACATAATACTGCAAGAAATTTTAGGAATTTTATAAATACTACGACGAAAAAGAAAATGCCGGTGTAAAAAAAGGTGAAGAATTGCCACCTTATTGGTTCATTTTCAAGACAGCTTTTCCCCAATTGTTAAACATTACTTTAGTGTATACGGTTTCGATTACGTTGTTCCCATCTATGCAATCAGGTAAGAGGCCACATTAATTATACTGTTGTATCATCGGTTTTTTACAGACATTTTTAAAACCGATCCCAATTTCTTTATACCCGATGAATATTACGCCGACATAATGTGCTTTTTAACTTTTAACGTGTTCTCTATGATTGGAAGCTTTTTACCAGTCTTTTTCGTTTGGGTATTTATACATTTTATTTATTGAGATATTTCCAAAAGATCAATTACTTTTTAGCCGAAACCCAAGCATTTATGGATACCGATAACATTGAGATTCTTGTACATACCGCTCTTGCTGTTTTGTAATTACCAAATTCAACAAGCTGAAAGAGCCATACCGGTGTTATTCAACGATTATATTTACTTCTGCTTGGTGTCCACCATGGCATTAACCAATGGGTATTTCGCCTCTGTATCATCTATGTACGCCCCAAAGTATGTATAAAATGATTAAAGTATATCCTTCGAACACTTTAGTATTGCTAAATTCTACTCCGCAGGACGGTAGAGGAGAAGTATTCGATGGTTGCTGGTATGTTTTTAGGAGCATCTCTCCTAACTGGAGTTAATATTGGTGTATGGATTTCCTTCATTTGGCCCGCATTGGCGACCAATAACTTTAAAACCCCAAAAATTCCACCTGCTATTGAAGATCTGTAAAACTTGTAGAATCTACTTCATTGATAGTTATGTTGAAATTTGTGTAAGGGTTTTTTCTGTTATAATATAATAAATCCTTATATAATACGTAATTTAAGCCATTTACTCGAATAATACAGTTCATTTTATATATTACTGAAAGAAATTTAATAAAGACACTGTATATATTACAATGTCAATTTCAACGAAAGTCAGTTTACTAAACAATCTTAATAGTTTTCTGTACGAGAAATTGAAGAGTTTTGACGATGACTGAAACAGATGTACCTGAAGATAAATTCTACATCATCTATTTTATATGTTTATTGCACGGAGTTGGGGCATTAACTACATGGAACATGTTCATAAATGCCCGAGATGTAAGTAGAAATGTAGCTACATAAAAGTGTGTTATTAATTTACAATTATTCCCTTTTCTAGTACTTTAAAGACTATAAACTATCGGACGATTACATCGGATACCATTACCCACACGGAGACCATTTCATGCAATATTTGGCATTCTTCTCGAACATTCCTGCACTGATTATTATGTGGTTAAACATTTTTGTTCGACTGAAAGGCGCCGTTATATGGAGGATGATCTGGGGCATAGGAATTATGATAGTTCTTATTGCATTCACCATTGTGATGGCTGTGGTCAATACTAGTCATTGTCCTAATGTATTTTTTGTTGTAACGATGATTTCTGTGTTCGCTATTAATTGTAAGCGAATTGAAAATTCTCGCAAATGCATTTTTATTAATTTATTTTCTTTTTAAGCCGCCAATTCCGTTTATCAGAGCATCCTATTCGGTATAGTAGGGAAATTACCGGAAAAATACATGACCGCAATAGTTATTGGAAACAACATTAGCGGCACATTTACCAGCATTTTTAGCTTATTATCGAAAATCGCATCAACTAATTATAAAGCAGCAGCTATTTACTATTTCCTGATATCTATCGTTGTAATGGGCGTGTGTTTTGCATCGTTATTTATTGTAGTAAATAACGTAAGGTTACATTACGTTATATAAATGCTCTTTCTTCGATAATACAGCAAGAAATTTTAGGAATTTTATAAATACTACGATGAAAAAGAGAACGCTGGTTTAAAAAAAGGAGAAGATTTACCACCTTACTGGTTTATTTTCAAAACGGCTTTTCCCCAATTGTTGAACATTATTTTAGTATTTATCGTTACACTTACGTTGTTCCCTTCTATGCAATCAGGTAAGAGGCCACATTAATCATACTGTTATATCATTGGTATTTTCCAGAAATTTTCAAAAGCGACCCCAATTTCTTCATACCCGATGAATACTACGTTGATATAATGTGCTTTTTAAACTTTAACGTGTTCGCTATGATCGGAAGCTTTATACCAATCTTCTTTGTTTGGGTATTTATACAGTTTATTTTATTGAGAAATTTCCATTCCAGACGATCAATAACTTTTTAGCCGGAGCCAAAACGGGTATGGATACCGGTAACATTGAGATTCTTGTATATTCCGCTGATGCTATTTTGCAATTACCAAATCCAACAAGCAGAAAGAACCTTACCGGTATTATTCAATGACTACATTTACTTCTTCTTGGGCTCTACCATGGCCTTGACCACCGGATATTTCAGCTCCATTGCATCAATGTACGCCCCTAAGTATGTACTCAGAATATGCCATACAATCGCTTATGATATTCGAATTGAGTTGAGATTATGTTATAGAAGAGTCTCCTGAAGCACTCTAGTTCCAGAAAAGTCTAGTAATAGTGTTAATTTTTCGTAGAACGGTAGAGGAGAAACATTCCATGGTTGCCGGCATGTTTTCAGGAGCTTCTTTCCAAACGGGAATCAATATCGGCACCTGGATCTCCTTTATTTGGCCAGCTTTAGCCACCAATAACTTCGAAATACCCAAAACTCCAGCTAGTACTGCTGATCCGAAAACTCCTTAGCAAATTTATATGCAGCACATTCCTCGGAATATTCCTCTTTCCCAACGTAACGTAACCCTTATGCAATCAGTTTATCGCATTCAAACGAACCACTCGATTTTTATCAAATCGTTCGATAAAAACACCTCTCTATGTTGCTCAGTATCCACGCAATCAACCGCTCAGATACATAACATTCCACCATGTTATTTAAACTGATAGTTTCGTTATTTCTGATGAAATTCGCGCGATCCAGTTGCGTAATTTCATCGTTTTCTCAAGTCGACGAAGCGACGAAGCGCTGCGACAGCATCACCGTGACCGACCTGGTGGTTCCCCCGGGAGTGACCTTGGAATTCGACCTCAACAACGGCACCACGGTGGACTTCGACGGTCTGGTTACATTCGAAAACGCCTCGTGGACGGGCCCTTTGGTTAGATTCAGAGGCGACGGGGTCCGCGTTCGAGGAGCACCAGGTGTTGAAGAGTTTATAAAACGGGTCTGTTCGAGTTGAATTTACGTTAGAATTGTACAGGTTCCGTGTTCGACGGACAAGGCGCGTTGTATTGGGACACGAAGGGCGGCATGGGCGGGTTACCGAAGCCCTATTTCTTCCAAATAGAAACCACCGGCGGTTCGGTATTCGAAAATATCTCGCTGCTAAATTGCCCTCATCATTGCGTTATCATATCGAGCAGTGATTTGACTCTTACAGGATGGAACGTTGATGTATCTGCTGGTGATAAGGTAAGTATAGAACGTCAGGCATGTATAAAGGCTGTCCATTTTCGTTAGAGTAGTGGATCTCGGGCCGGCCTGTTGCAACGTTGCCGGGTTGTAATTGATATCTTTGATGTGACAGATATATTCAATTTAAGGTTATGTTTACTTTCATTGTTTACAAATTAAAAAAGTCTTAAATAGTAGAATTTAAACATGAAAAAGTAGATCAGGAGGAGATGTGAGCTTGCGAGCATCGATTTAACAGAACATTATGTGATTTTTTACGATTAGGTCAATTATTCCAATAGTCTTCTTCCCCTCCATCGTCCCGTTCTCTATCAAAATAGGTCGAAAAACAAACCGAAAACCGCACGAAAAACTCTCTAAAACGAACGGAAAACACAAAACCTACTCGTAAACTTGCATGAATTGCAAGAAAAATGCAAAAATCGCCTAAAAAGTAGCAAAAACAACAAATTGTAAATATAACCTGTCAACATAAAAGAGCGGAATTTTAAGACTAACGCAAGACAACATCGCTTCGGAAGTTCAACTGCGCGTCGTAAAATTCCCCAAGTCAAATAGAAGAATTAACATTGGCACTAGGGACATTTTGAACTGCGCGGAAATTACTAAAAATTACCAAATAGTCTAACGAAAATGGATATCCCCTTTAGCACAAAATATTTTCACTATTCTTTAGGGAAATTTGGGCCACAATACGGACGGATTCGACGTCATCTTCGGGGAGAACGTAGTGATCGAAAACTCGCGAGTGCTCAATCAGGACGATTGCGTCGCGGTGAACAGAGGCTCTAATATGTTGATATCGAACCTCTACTGCTCCGGGGGGCACGGTATAAGCCTGTCGGTGGGATTCAGCAAACACTCCTACAGGCACAACACCGTCCACAACGTCACGTTTTCGGATTGCACCGTTGCCAGATCGCAGAACGGGATCCACGTGAAGACCCACAACGACGGGTACTTGGGGGAGATTAAAAATATTACTTACAGGAACATCAAATTCATTGGTAATTATACAAGCATTACTGGTATTACAATTCTAACATTACATAATGGTGCAGTGGAAAGGCAGATGGAACGAATGTATATCATTTGTGTTTTAGATGTAGAAAATTTCGGAATAAACGTTCAACAGGACTACGCAAACGGTACCGGTACAGGACATCCAGAAAGTAACATACCCATCACAAATCTAACGTTGAGCAACGTCTCGGGTAACGTTAGAGGCTCTAAAAGCACCGCGGTATTCATTTTGTGCGGTTCTACCGGTTGCTTCGATTGGAAATGGTCTAACGTGTCGATAACGGGAGCCAGAAGGCGCGATTCCTGCATCAATTACCGCCCGTTCGGGTTCGCTTGTTAATAGCCGAATGTCGAATTAAATTGCATTAAAACGAAAAAATAGGTGATGATTGTGCCCGAAAGGGTGAACAGCGTCTTGTAGTTGAGATCGAAGAAATGGCCGGCGGTGAGAGCGGGTTTGGTGGCCCGCACGTGTTCGACCAGATTCAGCAATTCCTGTTTCTCCCTGCTGAAAACGGGATAGTTCTCTTGGAATTCGTAGCACAGGGCGATCAGTTTCTGCGACTCCGCGGCCGTCCAATCGGCGGCGAATATCACCAGAATCGGCAGGATCTGAAAAATCATCCGTACACACTATATCACTTCTTGTCGTACTCACCATTCCGGTAACTATGAAGGAAAACACCACCATAATATTCGCCAAAGCATCGGTGGAATGTTTCCACGACGGCGCTGTAACCACTTCCATCCCGTGCAACGTTAAAATACTATTCGAAATTATAGTAAGGAATATTTGAATGCCGAACAACGAATTAATATCGGCGATTAACTCGCGCAATTGCCTGAACATTTTATCAACGGACCCGCTGAGCAGACATTTCATCCTGAATTGCCGCACGAATGTGCTATTCAACTCCTTATACTGCAAATAGGCGTAATAAATATACGAAAAAGCGATCGATAATTGCACTTGCTGAATACTCATGCATACGTATTTGATGAAGTATTTGCTCTGTACGATATAACCATCACGAATACACCAAAACATGTTAGCTACTAGAGAAACGAGGGTGCATGTGATTAGATTGATTGTTAGTAATTTTTTGTAGTTCCTCACGAACGAGTTCGGTTTTGGTCGCATCGATTGCTGAATGCGTTTGCTCTTTCTGTGCAGCTCGATCCACTTGCGGGCGTTCCAAAAGGACGATCCGATGAAGGTGATGAAGCAGTTTAGAGAGTCCAGGATGTCGCGCAGGACCTCGGCGAACAGCGAAAAGGCGTAGATGTTGTGGCTGGAGCCCGGGGCTAGCAACTGATAGATGCTGTAGATTTGTATTAGCTGAATGATTAGGTAGTACGAGACCGCGTACGATCTGTACAAGCGCCTTTTTCTGATGGTCGTCGAGTTGAAGTCTATTAAAGGGGCGACGCCGAAAATATTTCCGATGCTTATGGAAAATTCGATTTTTCTCAGCATGATTGCGAACGCGACGAAACACGAACGAATAATGTCACGAAAGCTGTTTTATGCATCGGTGATTCCTTTTTGGGGAAATCATTTAGAAATGAATTGGTAATATGCATTAAATTCGGTACAAAGAAACGCCGGTAGAAATATTAAAATGTGTATTATTAAATAAAATTTGTATATAAATATTTGAGTTAAAGAAATGATAAAACTAATTCCGGTTTTTTTTATATAATAAAACAATAAAATTTAATACACCGTATTGTAAAATATATACAAAAAATGTTAACAAAAAAAACCCTGATTGATTAGTTAAATAAAGTAGGTTTAATAATTGGATTGTATAAAAAAATTAAATTAATACATAAATTAATCGATTTTAATATTAAAAATCCGTTTAGTGTTAGTACTTAAATTAATACACTCACAACTAAAACAAAAACATATAATTCTCGAAAATTTCATAAGAAAAAAATTATCAAAATAAAACAAATCTTTCATACTTTCCTATTGCAATTATTTTCAACGGTTGATGAAAACTTGAGCATTTAAACTATCAAAACAAAGGGCCTCGTGTACTTTACCTAAACGGATTGAATAATGTAAATAGGATCGGCTGCTCTACTTACTATTACTACAATAAATAGCACCATAGGAATTTCTAGTTAATACAGGATGTGTGAGAAAATATACCTATACATATTATTATACATTTGATTCCAACTCGACTAAACTTTTGTTACTTTCTATATAAAAATGGTCTCGAAATTTACCACACCCTGCATGGAACATTTCTAAAATCCGTTACAAAAATGCAACTAAATTTAATAAATTCAACAATCTTTTATAATAAAAAAAAAACTGATAAATCTTCAAATAAGCCTACTTTTGCTACATAAAGTAGATACGCTTGATCTACTAGAATCAATTCTTCCCAGCAAACCAAGTATGCTTATACTCAACATTAATGGAGAGAAGTACGATGTGAGATTAATAGGAAACTGAACAATTTAAAAAATTCATCAACGACTTCATAAGAATACGAGTCGTACTCGTCTCCATTAAACATTTCTGTTGTTACTTCTGAGATAGTAATTATAAAAATTACTTTTTAATGGAAACCAAAAAGTACGTTTGCAATCACCCATAATATCTGGTAAAACATCAAGCAAATGAAAACGTTTCAGTCGATCATCCGACGCATCAGTCGATTCGTAATTACATTCCTACCGTATTGTCAACATATAAGCAATCAATCCCCGACCGAACAACACCTCAAAACCTAACAACAGGCGCCGGTATTTTAGACAAACCGATGTCCGGCCTCGAGTTCTTCCTCGGCGTCCTGAACGACATCCTCTCGTGCGACATCCTCGCCGGCAACGACACCGGCCCCGCATCCTCCGCCTCGTTGTCGCTGAGCGCGCTCAGGCTGCCGAACTTCTTCAGCAGCGCCTGCACCTTGACGGCGATGGCCTCGTCCGAATTGGCCTGGTTCACCACCTGCAGCAGCTCCTCCTTCAGCTTGCCGTTGGAGCTCGACTTCGTCGGAGAGGTGTTGGTCGACGAGGACCTTCGAGAGTTCAAGCTCGAGACGCTCCTTCGAACTAAACGAACGTTGCAAATAATTAATTGTCGAGCGAGTGGAGAGTGTGATAAGTACCTTGTACGTTTCTGTTGAAGGGCGAGAAGGTTTCTGGATTGACGGCGGGTCTTTGGGCCTTGGGTCGGCCGCTCCAGGTGTTGATTTTCGTTTCGGGTCGCTTCGCTGGGGGCGCTGTCTTCTTGGGATCGGCGCCGTTCGATCGGAAACCCAACGAGGATTTTCTTCGGGTCAAAGGCAGCTCCTTCTCTTTGCTTCTGTTGGTTTTCGACGGCGAATCGTCCGGCGGTTTTTTCTGTTGCTCGGCCAGTTTCTCCATCGTCTCCAACGTTTTCTCCAACTTCGTTTTGATGTCGTGGTCGTAGATCCGCTGCGAGAATTGCGTCTTCCTCAATCCGAACTCGTTCAAATCGTCTTCGGTGTATACTTGATGCTCTGTAGGTGTACGATTTGTTAATTATAAATCGATTTAATCGACGATACACGTACCGCTTTCTTCTGCATCTTCGGCGGAATTTTGGCTATACAATGAGGACCTTTGTTTGGTTCTGTCGTGGACTATACCGAGGCTTCGGTATCCTTCGTCGGAGACTTCGGAGGTGGTGTCGCTGTGATCAGTATCGGTAACCTATAAAACACTTATTAATAACATCCTCAAAACTATCCATTCTTTACCTTAGTGTCATTGGAATTGTGCGAGTTCTTGTGTTTGGAATGACCGTTAGAGGACTGGGAATGGCCGTTAGTCCTGTGTTGGGGACTCCTGTTGGACGGCAGTTTGGATGGGTGGTTGGGCGTGGGGCTCCTGGACCTGACGGACGGCGGTACGAGCGATCTTCTGGTGGATAAGTTAGGACTGAGCGAGCGTTTGGGCGACCTGGATCTGGATCGATTCAGGGCGTTCATCGGCGGGCCGAGGGAATTCGGTCCGCTGGCGGTGTACCCGTTAACCGGTTCCGTTTGGGCCAAAGGTGATCTAAGAGTAAAAAAATCGTTCGAAAAATTACTGGAAAAGGAATTAGTTTTGGGTGTACCTGTCGTAGTAGACGTGGGACCCGTGCAAATCGGGAGCGCCGGGTTTGTTAACTAACTTCGCCCCTTGGGTCGTCCTGTGTTGCGTTCGACATCTGCACGGATCGTGCTTGTCCAAATAATGGGACAGGGTGTCCCAACCACCGCCCACCCTGACCATTACGTGGTTTCGGAGAATCTGGAATTTAATACCATGAGTCGAACGAAGGAACGTTTATTAAAATAACAGTGGGTTAGAGTGAGGAAGTTGCAATCCCACAATATCACAATTTTCCTTCATTAGAGACTAATGGAAGTTGTCTTTGTTGCACCCGTTGCGTACAAATTTGCACTCAAAATTTGTTATAAATATTAAAATTTGGAATGGTTGTCTAATTAAAAGAACCTCGACGAGAACAGTTTAGAAGCAATATATAATAAAATAAAAACGCGTAAACCTTGAGAATGGCATTACAAAATTATTAAATCATATATGTAGTGTGTGGTAGGATTTATAATAAAATTGTCCTTGGTGATATTTTACACCTGAATACTTACTCTCACAAAAATGAGGACTTTAGTATCGCCTATGCGGTACTTTCCTTCCGATACCCTGATCATCGGGAATTGAGTCGGGCAAGTGCACTTTTCCACCAAATCTCGAACCTACGACAAATAAAATTAATTCAATCTAGAGATATTAATTATTCGATGAAAAATTGACGTAATTATCCAACGCACCCTATAAATTATTGAACTTTACTGTAATTGTCACGTTAAGCTAGTATCCTTTGGAATTTGACACAAATGACATTTGTTCAGAATAAAAAGGAAATAAATTATATTTAAAACAATATTTTTTAATTTCCTTGATTATTGTCGATTAGCCATTATAGAACAATTAATTTGCTATAAGTTAGTATAAGTATTTGCTAAGTATAAGTAAAAATTTTTTGTAGCAACCTGGAGTCTAATTTGAAGTTCATGAAATCTTGATGACATATGATTTTAATGTTGCAACTTCATTGTTATGTTGCTGACACGCGACTGCATAATTCGACTCAAAAAGACAATAAAATTAATAGTAAAAAAAAGTGATTCATTTAATAATCTAAATTACCCGAAAACGCCGATAACAGTCGGAAAATCGGCAACGCGGCGACAATTCCTCGGCGATGTAATAAACAGTTACGCTATTGTTTAAAGACAATCGAACGTCGTTCCACCGCAATCTATGACTTTCTATCGGCAATTTAAACGGCGACTTCGTGCTTTACCCTTTTCGCAAAAATCGCGAAATAAAAAATTGTTTAACGAAATGTACGTGGGAAATTTTATTACGGACGTCCCGCGGTGGACGAGCGCGCTCGAGAGAGCCTTCTAAAAATGACTTTATTTGGTATGTGTTTAGAGGAGAAAACGGATCAATTGTTGTACTACCTAAAAAGGAGTTGCTGAAATGCGCTTTGTTTTTAATTCCTCGTTCGGTTTTTGTTTTAGTAAGAAATGCCAACAGAAATATATGCTTCATTTATTTTGAAAGAAAATTTTTTGAAATCTTAGTTTCTGTGACACCCTGTATACCTAAAATTACAACTCGCACTCTTGAGTAGTTTCTGAATCGTACAACAAACAAAAAAAATATACTTATTATTAATGTAGTTTCATTACTTTTGTGTCAATCATTTTTATTCGAGTGCTTCGAGTCGAAATAAATTTCGATTACTGGCTATTTAAATTACGAAATAATTACCTACAAGGTTACAATTTTCGAGTGAGCATTGTAATAATGAACGTTTTTTTTTTATTTATATTGTAAATTTTCGCCTAATGGATTCGGTTTCAAAACAATAATAAAACTACAAGTCGATTTTCCTATGACTCACGCTCGCTCGTCGACTTTGGAATTTTCTAATTACCCTTAAAAAATAATGCGCTTTTTATGTCAACAGAAAAAAATTATCATTCTTATATCGGATAACGACTTATTTAACTGTATTTTTTTCCGGAGTAATTGCTCTAAAATTCGTTCGTTTCGAAATCCACACCAGCTTCTCTCTGCTGCATGGACTCGACAAAGTAACAAAGTAGTTATACGAGTATTTAAAGCCTCACACGAACGCGATGCAATATACAATATGCAAATAGACGGGTACGAAAATGACTCATTAATTCAATAGCCGGTTACAATTCGAGAAACACCTGCTCATTTTATAAACAAAAGATTACAACTTTACAACCAGCGAGAATCACGTTGCCTTAAAACAAACCAAACTGTTGTTATGGTCTCGCTAAAGTCAATTTGAAATTTCTCACTCGTCGCTCCAAAGCTGACTTGACAATTTTTGTGTAAATAAAAAAAAACCTCTCTTTCTAACTTTTCTAACATTGGCACTCACCATTTTGGAATTATTGTTGATAATACTTGTAGTTTTGCTACAGTCAATTTTAAATTACAAAAATAGTCTTCTTCTGAAACTTCATTCTAATTTTCGATAGATTTCTCAATAAAATATATCACGGAACCACAAGGTGATCTGCGATGTTTGTTGCCTAGGTAACGATAGGACAACTCTGGTGAATTAATCGAGGGTGGCCATTCGGCCGAACGAGTCTCTTCGGGATTTGAATATTGACAGCGAAGTGTCAAACAACGAAGCGAAAGGAACTATAAATTTTAATCATGTGGGTAAATTGGACGCAAAATTCCACGTAATTAACCACAAATAGTTTTTTTCTAATATATTCACTATTCTATTCTACGATAAATTACTATTTTTTTTTCGAATTGACAAAATTGACATTAATGACACTTCGTATGACAGAAGTTTACTAAAGATGGAACCCGTTTTTTTGATATAGAGGTGCAGTAACGACTGTTACAAAATAAGCGTTATTTTTCAAATCTACTCTTTCGGGCGACTATTCGTGGTGTTATGAATTTTCCAACTCACCATTTCGTCGAGACTTTTGAGATCGTTGGTGATGATCTGCGGGACCGGTCCGTACATCAAGACGGTTTCCTCGTCTTCGATGTCGCTGTCGGTGTCGCTGTCGTCGTCGATGATGTTGTGGTTGTTGAGGTTCTCGTTGAAATTCACGCCGAGCTTCTTCTGATCGGCGGCTATTTCCCTATCTATTTGCCGTTCCATTTGCACTATTATGGGCGCCAGCATGCCGAATCTGGAAAGGAACGAGTTATTTATCCGGGAGGTACTTGTTCATCGACAGTTTCAATAGATGAAGGAATTTTTAAGGATTTTTGAAAGGATTGTACATGCTGAATCCTTATTCGAGACTTTATTTGGTCCGCTTTCAGCGCCTCTTTTTAACGTAAACAATATTTACTCCATAACAACAATGTAAAACTATCAAATGAATGAATCTCCTTAGTTACTCCATAACAACAATGTAAAACTGTCAAATTAAACGATGTCAACTGTCAAGTTAAAAAATCGTCTTTAGTACTTCGTACTTATACAGATGCAAAGAAAAAATCTGCTTAGGATAATTTTATTTAAATATCGTATTTACTTTTCGCATACAATTTGCACAGCTATGTCGTGTGGGTTTTCGAAACGTTGAGTGAACAATCAAAGAGGCGTAAAATAATTCTCTCTTATTTCACAAATATCGCGTTTCCATTATTTTTTATTTCTTCGCCGCTAATTCAGAGTGAATGAATGTTTGAAAAGGTCGCGTTTGATTCGCCATCGATTGAACCGATCGGCCTTGATTGAATCCACTTGTTTATAGCGGGGTAAAATTGTTAAATATCGCTCGTATGAATTATATTATGAAAGAAAAAAAAATTAAGGAAGTTGCGTAATACGTAGAAAGGAAATGTTGCAATGTCGTCGGTTCTCGCTTCTATTATTTAGCTTTTTTTCCGAAAACTCGATACATTGTTACGAAACTGGCCGTAGAATTAAAAATAGAACGAAATGCGTACATGCAAATTAATAATATAAAAAAGAAAAAGTACTTTCTTATTCACGGGCAATTTCGTCATTATTCCATTTAATTTCTTTTTTATAAAACCACAATGGTAAATAATTAGCCATTGTCTTCGGATAGATTTTTTTCTTAATCAACCTCTTTTATTACGTACGCAATGCTAGTTCACTTCTCACTTGATCGAGGTAATTGGATCGTTAGAAATTTAGAAATTAAATTCAACGATTTTTCGCGTTCATTCTTCTCTAATTCGCAACGAATTTTCACCGGATTCAAAAACGCTCCTTGCACTCGTGCATTATTTCTTTATTTAGCCGTTGCACATGTTGCTGTAACTGTAGTTAATAATCGATAATGCGAGGTGTTGAGGCGATGATTAACATCTCGTCTAACGGTATCAATAGTTTAATGTTTTAATTAACGCCTCTGGATTCTCGAAAGAAAGCCCGTTTATATACCTATAATATAACACTTCGTCGAGGCGAGTGATTGAACCTGACGCGATTTACTTCGATAATTACGTTTAAACTTTGTTAACAAGTTTGTTTTTGTTATATTTTATGAGGCGTTAATTTATCAAATCTCTATCATATCATTTTTATACCATAGTAATTTATAAGAGACATTTTAAAATTCAATAGAGCTCTAGAGGGATTAATAATCTTGATAATTTATACAACTTGAAGAAAATACTTTAGGGTGCTAAAAGTCAGGAGAAAAATAAAATTATCTATAGATATACCTTTTGGAATAAATTGTAAACATACTCTGTAAGTAAATGGAATATAAATTAAAAATTTATGCTATAGAAAAATGTGCAAAATTCTATCAACTTCCACAGTATGTCTTTGGAATATTTTCTTAAAAAATTGCTCTTACCTGGCACCTCTTCTGGCGACTTCGAGCAAGCACAAAATGACGTGTTTTTCATTTTTCCTCATTATCAAATCGTCGGTCTCGAACAGGAGGCATTCTATTATCTTCAGCGAGTTGCGACACCAATTTATGAAATTGCTAACGTTATCCCTGGAACAATTTAAAGAAAAAAAATATATGGATTTGTAATGCAGTTATTTAAATGGTACATTCATCATTCATTCGTCGCTAATCTCCATCCGTTCCGATTTTTCCAAATAATAATGTCGTTCGTCATGGTTCTGATGAAAATATCGATCTTATTGTACAATTGATTAATGATGATAACCGGGCATCTTTTCGAAATAATTTTCTTATCTAATTATGAACTGTTTTTATTAGACACATTAGATAATAAAATCGTTTTGTTTTTCAAATAAAACCATCCATTCCAAATTAATGTCGAGATTATATTGGCATTTTTCAGCCTATTTCACCTTGATTTCGCGAACTGTAGGTTATCATTTAAATATACAGTGTGTCCCTCGGTATCATCTAAGAGTACTGAAGGGAATTCAATAATATCCTACCATTAAATATTTAACGAGAGATAGGAATTCAGGAGAACGGTATTTGAAAAAAATAACGCTTATTTTGTAACAGTCGTTCCAGCACCTCTATACCAAAAAAATTCCCACCTCTATTAAACTTATGTCATACGAAACGTCATTAACGTCAATTTCAGCAGTTTTCGCTTATGTACCATCGAACGCATCCTAAAGTCCCACCTATTCGCGTACAATGCGAAAAAAAACATCTACAATCGGACTATTGCGGTACCTACCTGGAGAAAAACGTTCCGGGCTTGGCCGTGTTGAAGTACTTCACTTCGGCGATTTTCACCAAAGCCTGCGCCGTCGCCAGCGATCCAGTCACGGACCTCGCCATGATCTTCTTCGCCTGCTTCTTCTCCACGTACTCCTGCGCCTGGGCCTTCACGGCGTTGGCGTGCTGCAAAACCGGAAAAGATAAACTCTTTAGAATATATAAAAACGAGTGGTTTTCAATGGGGATTTAGAGGGATATCTCGTTACTTACGAGCGATCGAGGATGTGACTTACAATCGGCCCGTCTCATTAGCATAAAAGCCGTAAATTAGAGGCGTATCGTGGAGAGTCCGTCAATGTTTCGATAGCGTAAAATGTGCTAATCGAATCGATTTTTTTTTTAATTCGTTACGTTACGAGCGTGTCATGTCGTGCTACTAATTTCACTGATAGCGACAAACAACTTTGACCCACTTGCATATTTCCTATATAAAATTACTTAACACATAATAAATATGTAAACGGAGTAATAGCCTACAATCGAGTGGAATATACAAGATTCATACCAATAAATTAGTAGAAGAGCAATTCAATAGGAGCTTGCAGTAAAAATAACCGGCGGATTTCACCTATAGGATATGTAAAATATCGAGTACATAATAACGAGGAATAAACTAATCGTTTGCCTAAAGGAAGAATTTACTCGTATAATACAGAATAATGATTTGTTAAATTTAAAATGTTCTCGCAACTCTTCCAGTTTCACAGTTATTTCTTGATTTGACTCGATGTTTATCCAGAATTATTTACCAACCATAAACTATGATTAATGCGATTCGTGCGCAACGTTTAACAATAGGTATCATGCAAGTTCGGTGCAATTAATTTCGATTTCATGCAAATGCATAATAGTCTCGAGACGGTTTGTCCTATGGTTAATTTAATTACCCGACCCCGATTGCAACCGTACAGAAACCGAAAGAGATCGAGCGCATTTTTGCGACAGCCGCGAACAATGTCGAAAAACATTGAAACAACGTAATTACGATTTAAAAATAATAATCGACGGCCGGTGAGTCACGAAACACTCGCGTTCTTTCTTTCATTATATTTATTTATACAAAGGACTCGAGACATTCCATTTTCGACGGTTTCGCTGTGGGTTTTCGAGCCGCATTTTCTTGCGCGATTTTTCGCCACCTATATGGCGCTATAAGCACTTTCAATTAATTTTACCAAACCGTTTTATTTATTTATTTATTCTATTAAGCTTTTTCGAAGCTCTCTTTAAAACTGTTATACGCCTTTAAATTAACGGCTCCTTAAGCTTATGCAAATGTCTCGTATTATAAATAATACCGGGTGAGCATTAATTCGGATATTTTCGAAGAAGTCGAAGAATTAAATCAATCTCGGAGAAAAGTCGCTGAATAATTCAGTCAATGAATGACTGGAGTGACTGAATGAGTGTTTGAATGAGTGAGTGGATGATTGAATGAGTGATTGAATGATTGACTAAATGTGTGATTAAATGAGTGATCGAATGAGTGATTAAATCTTTGATTGAATGAGTGATTGACTGGAATGAGAGAGCAAATGAGTTGAGAAATGAAAGAGTGAAAGAATGAGTATGTGAATGAGTGTAAAAATCCTAATTCAGCTTTAGTCCCAAAGAAATCAATTTGAATTGATTTTAGCCGGTATGATAAATGGCATTATACCAACCACTCAAAAGAAAGTTTGGTCACCCTGTACGAACCGTTCGTTAGCCCGAGTTAAGTAGAATTAAAATTCCTGAAATCTCTCGATGTCAAATTTAATGTATTCGTCGACGGGCGTTCGTTTAATATATACATACGATATATTTTTTTTTTCAATCGCATTTACATCTTCCTCAACGACTAATTGTTTCAAAGTAAACGCGACTTTAATGCGACGCACGTCCGCTTAGCGTAACGGATGATTAAAGGGACGCAGATGCAGCTCGTTAAAATGCCTCAAATCGACGCCCGGGTTGCCGAATTTCGCGGAGAATTTCGCCTTTCTGGGGAAATTTTTAACACTTCTTATTTAGTATTGGAAATAACATTTTTTTAGATACTTAATTTAAGCGCATACTTTTTTGGTCAAAATTATATTTCGTGCAAAGTATTATAGTGATAGAAATCCGCAATGATTGGCAACGCTGTTCGACGCCAGGGGAGTTCTATTTACAGTGCTCATTCGGCCTCCGGTGGGTTTTTAAGTTTTTTTTCCTCTTCATTTATCGTTTGTGTTTGTTATTCCTCGTTGAAATTCGGTGCTAAAAGTCGTTTGATGCGCCGGAAATGCATTGTGTACACCAACCTACTAGGTTATGGCCTCTAAACAAAGAAATAATAAGGAAAACTCGCGCGTTTCCTGCCGTAAATTTTCATTCCTATTTTAAGGAACCCAACATTTGGTCCAATAATGGACTCAATTTATTACTTATTAGATTCGGTTCAAGCGAATTTTCCCGTTCGTTTTCCAATACATTTTGGCGAGGGAAAGGCGCCATTAAAATACCTTTTAACGCGATTTAAATGCTACTCGAGGCCGATGTGTCTTTTATAATTCCTTCCGAGTTATTTTTATTCGCCCCGCACCTAGCCCGGGCTAATTTCGGTCCTCGTTCATAAAATTCTTCAGGAGAGGAGTCCGAACGTCGCCCGAAGGTAGGCGCACAAGCGACGATTATTATATTATATTCCGAGATATAATTACGTCGAAAAAGGTCCGATCTCGTGGGAGTTAGAACAAGCAATCATTTGCATTTCGTAATGGACGCCTTTTTTAGATTAGGCTCGCCAATCGTTTGATTCAATAACAGTAATTTATAGTTAAGTGGCCGCGCATACTCCCGATTTCAAGACGAAAATATACAGGGCGTCGAATGCATCGGAAAAAATGTGTTTGTGGCGGATTTTCAGCGGGGAATTTCCGGCGATTTTTCGCGATCCGCTCCTGCAAGAACCCGTTTATTTATAATAGAAACGAATGGAAACGCAATGAATACGTTTGAGGAAGGATTTTATTCCTTTTAAGTCATTGTTATTGAGAAACTGGCCGATATTGTGCGAGCGCTCGTTATTTTTTTCACAACTGCTCATTTTCCGAATGTTATGTGACTTTAAATGGACTCATCAAGGATGCTCGTGCAGTTTCTTTATTGTATCGATACAAAAACGCCATCATTGTATTAAATTGTCTCGCTTAGGGTCATTACTGAGGTCTCCTGCAATGATGGATTTATTCGATCAATAAATTTTCCTGCGAAACGGCACATTTTTAGGTACTTGCGTTTTTTTTTTTAATTGAAGCGGTGATTTTATCTTTAAAGCTTCCTATTTTTTGAAATATCTGTTTATTTGCATAAAGATAGAGATCTTTGTTTCGTGAATTTTCAAGTACATAAATACTCGAGGAATATAAAAGTAAGTGATTCGAACATGAGAAAATTCACGTAACGAGAACATGCTCCTAAAACGAGCAAAAATACCAAAAACATCCAAAAACCGAGCGAAAAACCTCAAAAACTTCCGCAACGACAACTCGCCTCATTAACTCGACCATTAAAAAAGTTGTCGTGGATTTCAATCGGGAGTTTCCTTGACTCGGCTCGCCGATTTACGGCGCATTGTGACACTGAAAATCCGATTTTTAAGGAAGCTTTCGCGCGTTTATCTGAAATTCTAATCGACCTTTAGAAAAAGTCGAACCGATTCAGCGTTCGTGAATCTTAATAAAATCATTCCGCGAAGGCTGCTCGAACAGGTAACGCCATATTAGGAGCGCAAAAACTCAATTTTATCGGCGCCACACCAGGTAGTAGATAGAGCGGAATTTTTCACCGCATACAGGGCGAAACGAACACCAAATGCTTGCCTAACGCAGCCCAATTTCAGCAGGAATATTTCATTTCTTGGTACACCTTGTATGTGGACAAATTTCGGTCGAGAGGAAATTTTCCTGACGCGTACAACAGCGCGTTATCGAGAGGAAGGAAATCGCGAAGCGGCATCCGTTTATATATATTTATATAATTTATATTTATGCTATTCAATTCGACGATCGTGTCAACGCATTTATATCGTCGAAGAGGATGCAAACGTCCATTTGAAAGTTTTATTATGTCATATAATTTTTAAGTATAACGAAAGAAAATGTACAAGTAATCTCATTATGTTTTCTCGGTGGCTGAACACCTGCTATGTTAGAGGCATGTCATTTCGACAAAAAAAAGGACCATTAAATAAATTTTAGTAACATAAAGGATTATTAGGAGTCGAGTAACTGTATATGGTCGGTGTGCAATGTTAGCTGTCAGATTAAGGGCGGTGTTGGTGTGGAATTTACTAATTCTCGAATTAAGAATGAATATTTCATCACGTCGAATTTAATTAAACGGCAATCTGATGAAACTCCAAGAGGATAATCGGAGGATTAAAATCGTCGTGGGTCGAAAACCGGCCTTAAAAAAATTACAAGCATTTTTTTTGAAACAGTTAATTATTTTTTTGCGCTGTTTACTACCATTTTCAACACTGGTAAGTATATAGATAGGGAAATTACAATGCAACGAATTCAAAAAAACCCACGACTATAATATAATGGAATTCCATTTCTACCTCCGGGCGAATCCATCGGAAACCACCCTTGTCCATTATATTACATAGCTCTTTAGCAACGATTTTTCCGCGATGATCGATAACGAATTATTATTACTATAATTACGCGACGGTTCGTAGGCAAATGCCTTCAGATTCCACCAGATTATATTCCCTCTCGATAGAACAATATGCACGACTGTTGTAACACACAAATCTGATCGAAAATTCAGCTCATTCTAGATGAGTTTATAGACTAATAAATGTAAGTTTTTTATTCGCGAAACACCCTTATAATATGTGCGAGAAACTACAGGGGTGATTCTACATGAAAAAATAATGATATTTTGCTTGATTGATATTAATAATGGAGTTTCTTTACTACTAGATAAGGTGTATTGAGGAAATGAAAAATACATGTCAATATGTTTTATTTTTTTCCTCGAAAACAGCGGCCCGTAGGAAAAAAACACGAGATAATTTTTTTGTCACAAATTGAATGAGGAATTTATTGATAATTGAATTTTCAATAAAAATGCCCCAGTGGCGTACCAATATTATTTTTTCTTTAAAAAAAATTAATATTACCCGTATGCGCGCCAATGATGAACATAAAATTTTTAATTTTATATCAAAAAATGCGTAATAGTTACCTCTCAAAACCCACCAAATCTCATTTGAATATCCCATCTGGTTTCATCAGAGAAATAAATAATTCTTCGGTTTTTAAGAAGAAACTTTACCACCCCGTATCTCTCAAACGAAGCATTTTCGGACATACATTTACATAGCAAAAAATCATTATTTTTTCACGCAGAATCACCCCCCGTAGTTTATCGCGCTTAATAATCAACACCCTGTATACCGAACGACAATGTCCTTTGAACGAAAACTGATCGGATTCGACCGTGATGGCGGGTAACTTAGCACTTTCACTGATTGGTGCGTTTCCTTATTTGGCGTCTGGATCTCAACACTCGGCACTCGGCCCACCTTGACATCAACCCGCATACCTTCCTGTTGTACTTACCCGATGTATTTTTATTTTCTATCTGCAATAATGCACGTTATACGACCGAATAAAGAGCTCGATTCGATCCGATCCGATCGACTGGATGATTCACCCGATTACACGGGACGATCCAAATAAATCTCTATACCCAATTTTTCTCAATGAGTCCTCAAATACCCTTTGAAAATCTCTCGGACTCAAATAATCTAAGGTTACTCGTTGTATTTGTAGTTTCGAATCACCCCGTATTTCGATCTCTAGGATTGATGTGATAGTATTGAGACAATGCCTTGCATTCAACGAACGTACTTGAGATTTCGTAATTGCTCTGTTCTAGACCCGATCAAGGTGCTTTAAATGAATCGATATACTATTTTGGAGTTCGAGATTCTATAAGAAAAAAAAACCGGATAGAAGAAGTTCCAAAATAACAGTTATTAAATCGCTGATGTTCGAATCGAGAAGGCTAAACTGGCGATGATTGATCAATCGATCTAGGGCTTCGTGACGTCATGTATGTGACGTGATAGTGATCGTTGGTTATAGTGATGAAAATGTTATGTTCCCGTGTAAAACTTCTTAAAAGAAATCCTTCGAAACGCAAGGGCAACTTGCAATTCTATGCCAATAAAAATCTATAAAAACATCCAATATGGGCGCACCCGGAATATCTCGAATAGTTACTCTTAAATTCCGATTAAATACAAACATATTAAGACCGATCGCATTTAATTGTTTGTTTGTTTAACGGTTCGTTTCCAGTGCGAGCAAATCCAATTGAATTAACGTACAAATTAATTCGTTGTATTATTCAGTGCCTTTTAGATTTACTCCGATGCATCTGGGTAAATAAATAAATTCAATTTCGCCATTTGTGAAACACATGTCTGTAAACGACCTTTACCATATGTTAATTCGATCCGTCGAAAGTGCTGTATACAATGTTGTAAAATAGAAAGATAGAAATGTATAAAAGCACCGGAATGGGTCTTTTAAACGACAAGATATATCAACAATCAAGACTCCAAAATTGGTGTGTAAAAAATCACCCTGTAGAGGAGAATTTGCAGGGATTTGTGGAGAATCTTACCTCGCATAAGGCCACTCCGGTTTCCAGTTTTTCCATGAAATTCTCGACGGCTATGTTCAAATGGGGGTACATGGTTTGCAGCCATTCGGCCAGATCCTCCTTCATGGCGTAGAGGTACTCCTCGCTGGAGCGGAAGGGCCTGAAGGGCCTCGCTTCCAGTAGAGCCATTTTTTCCGGTACCGGTGCACTTCAAATATCTTCGACTAATAGCATGCTCGAAACCTCCTGTAACAAAAAAGAAGATCAGAATTTGACGTTTATTACATACATGCAGGTTAATTAGTTTTATAATTTTATATTTACCTGGTGGAGATAAAATTACATTGTATAAATTAGTGATTGGTTTGACCTATAATACGTTTCGTTTATGCTCGATATAAAATTATTGTTATTATCTGGCAACATTTTTTTATCTACTTATCGACATCAGTGAAATAATTCAACCTGACATAACTTAGATCTCCTTATTTACAGGGCGATTACTGAATGCATGAAAATAAATTGTTCTATTCAATTTTATACAAAAATAGATAAAATATTTTTTGACCTTATATTTATTTGCTTTGGGTACGGTAATAATAACTCCTTAAAATATCAACAAATTTTAATCACCCGTTATAATTATCTAAATGTAGGAAAGACGAGAAAAATAGAACACTTGATACCTATTTAAGAGATTAAACTAATCTTCGATGATAAAAATTTTACGTTGGATTAACTCTAATCGATTTATTTTTGTTGTAAATTAAAATTGAATGTTTAAAGTTGTTTACAACAGACATTTATTAACAGGAAATATTAAGTAGAGTATTAAATATTATCTTTTCAAAATTCCCGCCATATTTTTCAATCAATGAGTCCTTTTTTTCTTTTAGGTTATTAAATTGTAGTTTTTTAAATTAAAAAAATTGGCTCAATAAATAGGGTGACTTTAATAATAAGTTTTATATTTAAAATACCACCTACTAGTCTACTTAAATCTATAAATAAATATTTACAGAGTTGAGTGTTACATTTATTTCGGAGAAAATAAATGCGATATAAATTTGGTTTTTTTTAAATTCCACATGAGTAATCCAAATGACTTACTCAATAAATTTATCACTGAAAATACTAGATACAAATTTTAACAATTAGCCATATGTATAAGTATTAATAGAATCAATCTACCAACGAATTCAGTTAAATTACGAATGTATTCGTGTTATAATTATAATAAATTAGAATAATATAAATCAAATTAAAATTATATGCATCAGATATAGATAATATTTGTCGAAGGTAATGAAGTGTGTAATCGATTAGTATGCGGTAAAGTTCCGCAATTTGATATTTAGATTTTGTATTATAAATTTTATGGGATACGTTTAGACTGCCAATGATTTAATCCATGCAATTTCACTGAATTTTACTTACAAAATTACAATTAGAGGCATTTCTGCAATCCCAAGAATTTCATTGAGAAGTCTCCCATTCTCGATTTTATCGAACAACCCATAAAAATAACGAAAAAATTTCACAACATCCAAATTTCATTATATTCCACATGCTACATCTCTAAAATTTCATCGAAATGCCACACGATTGTTAAAGGAGATTGCGCATATCCTCATGTGGGCAGCTATTTTGTCATTTACACACAACATTTTTCGTACCTATCCATTGTAAAATGATTTTACAACAAACGTTTTATTACTAAACTCGAAATTTTATGGCGCCCATAAAACATTCGATAGAAATCAATAATAAAAATCCATTGATTAGGTATTGGATAAACAAATGGCATATATTGCTCATAGTATTATTTACTAACAACAAAAAAACCAGCCATAAAATTGATATTAAAATCGTTCTTAAAGTCGATTGTTAGCTATTTAAGGAGGGAATCAATACAAACCAACACTAGAGCATAAAAAATTATAACAAACAATTTTCGATAAAATATTAAAATTTCTAAACCAGAAGATTCACAACTGACCTGTAATTTGACAATCGTACGTCCAAAACCCGATTAAACCGCTCGGTGCATCACCTATACAAAACAAGGGAGAAAATACTTGAAAAAAAATCGCGTCGCGGGTATTAAAAAAAAAAAAATTTCGAATTTCGAGCGCCTATTCGAGCCGACCCGACGTCGACGCGACAATTCCGCGATAGAAAATGCGAACCACGCGAACCACAATAACCGCGACCACTCGACGCGATAGTCCTTCACGTTGTGTTTCGCTTCCTAATCCATCAAATGTAACCTCGCCGGATAACCGTACTCGTACATATGCATGTGTGTATATCCTCGGTGGCGGCTACTTCTTCTGCTTTTATTTCTGTTTTCCTTACTCTTCCCGGGCGCTCGGCATTGTCTTCGCTTCGATCGCAGTGGATTCGCGTTGGGATGGCGATTATGCCGCTCGCGTGGGGCCTTTATTATCGCGTTTCATTTCACTTTCTGGCCGGAGGAATCCGGAGGAATGCGGCACGAGAGCCGCGCTGGTTGCACCGTCACTGCGGCCCGTGGCCGTCACGCCGCCTCGTCTACCCCTACGGTTAAGGGGGTGGTTAGAGATGGGACGGTTTTGTAACTTATAACACAAATGTAACTGTCCCTGCGTGTCGACGGTTTGGTGTTGTTGAGATGATTTTGTCGACTGAATTGGATTGTTTGCGATAAAACGATTGTTTTGTACTTTAATTTAGATAAGCTAACGAATAAATATCAAAAACAATTGGTACACTAATTTTATTGTACTAGTTGAAAGTTCAATTGAATAGAATATTTCTCTGGTATCTAGTGTGCGGATTTTTTTGTCCTATGGCATATCATGTGGAGTGAGAACGAATTGATCCATCTCTACATGGAGAGGATTAAAACAGGAATGCCCTTTTATCGACTAAAATCAGCTGGTTTGGGTTGCAGTAGATGCGATTTGGTTGATTTATGCGTCTGGAGTGCAGGGATATCAGTATGCAAATATAAGGAAAATGTTTTCCGCATTTCTATGAGGAACTGGGAAAATATTTGTAGCCGTAAAATGGTCATTTCCTTACAGGAAATCTGGCCAGTTTTTCTGAAATATTTAATTTCTTTTAATTAAAGTAATACACAGTGACTTTTTCAATAATTTTCAAAATTTCAAAAATTTCACTACATTTCACTTTCAACTCATAAAACACACATAAAGTTAGAATCATTTACAGAACATAAATCAACATAAATTTATAATTGGGATACTTACGCCATCTATTGTTATTAAATATTATTTGTTAAATGTCATAATAAGGTTTTCTTTTGATACACTTGTACATGAAAACAAGTACAAGTTGTACATATTTTAAATGTCGGTTAATTTGATTAATATCGAAAAAAACGCAATAAAAACAAAAAAATAACTTTATTTTCCTAAAAAAATTAATTGAGATACTATTGGCCTCGTCTACCATACCAATTTCGACCAACTTTAGATATTTTGACAATTTTGACATATAATCACCAATATAAAAAGAAGAATTACATAGGTTAAAAAATTCAAGCGTCGGTTGATGTTCGTTCATTAACCGATTTCCGAATTTATTAAGTATTTTACCAAAATAAGCCGCCAAAATCCTCCAATGTAAGTAATTTTATCAATTTACTTAATTTCCAATTGAGTTATGTCGCATTTTAGATGGATATCCGGCCAAACAACACGATTTACATCAACAATCTCAACGAGAAAGTGAAGAAGGAGGAGCTGAAGAAGTCCCTGTACGCGATATTCTCGCAATTCGGACAAATCTTGGACATCATAGCGTTGAAAACGTTGAAAATGCGCGGCCAGGCGTTCGTCATATTCAAGGAAATCCAAAGCTCCACCAACGCGTTGAGATCCATGCAGGGATTTCCATTTTATGATAAACCAATGGTAAATGCGACTTTTTCTTAATAGAATTAGATATCTGCGATGTTTATGTTTAGATTTAGTGTTTTAATCGGAGTAGGCGTTTTGTTTTTTATTAGAAGTAAATCGTACTCTATCTGCTCTGTTATTCGGTCAACAATCGAATTCCAGTATACATTAAATTTAATTCGAATGTATTGTGCATTGCACTAAGCACAGTGTCCGTATTGGTATTTTCTAGAGGATCCAATACGCAAAGCAGGACTCTGACGTCATTTCCAAGTTGAAAGGAACCTTCCAGGAACGACCGAAGAAAGCCAAACCTGTGATATCTAGAGAGGAAGACATGCCGAGGAAGAAGAAGAAGAACAAGGACGCGAATAGGGCCGTTGGCGGAGCGAATGCGGAACAACCGCCCAATCAAATTCTTTTCCTGACTAACTTACCGGACGAGACCAGCGAAATGATGCTCTCCATGTTGTTTAACCAGTGAGTATTAGTAAATTTTCTATTGGAGTATCGATTAATCGGTGTATTTCTTCAGGTTTCCTGGATTCAAAGAAGTACGATTGGTGCCCAATCGACACGACATCGCCTTCGTCGAGTTCGAAAACGAACTTCAATCTGGGGCTGCAAAAGATGCTTTACAGGGCTTCAAAATCACCCCGACGCACGCGATGAAGATCTCCTTCGCAAAGAAATAAGTGATTTTTTTTGTACAATTACTCTAGTTTATAAGCTCGAACTTGTAACACACATTATCTGATATAAATGCGAATGTATGGACTTCGAGGGTACCTAATTGTTGATTTCGAAGCGTACCGACTGATTAATTGCATTGCCTTAAGGGTAGTAAAAATACCTGGAGTATTCGCATTTGTAGTAGTTTAGATAAGATGTGCTTATGTGTTCTTTAGGATCGATATCTAATAGAAGTATCGAAAATAAATATGATTTAATATTGACCCAGAAGAGTTGCTTGCTTCTCCAGCTCGATAGCATAAGAGTTATTGTTGATACTTTATAATAGTCTTCATCAACTATTTTTATTTTTTCAGAGAAAAGAAAACAAGTCTACCAATTTACTACTTATGTAGACTCTATTTTGGACCACACTATTAAGCATTATCTTTAATCACTTTACAAGTGAATGTTAACGTACACGACTATCAGTATGCTTCTGGCCTAACAGTAAATATTCCAAGTCGCCCAGCGTGTAGGCGATCTCGACGCGCCTCCTTTTAGGGTCCTTGCGGTCCGGTATCTGTATAGTGACTTTGTCCTTTCTATCCTGGCGATTGTTCACGGCCTGCTTCCAAATGCTGCTCCACAATTTCCGTTTGTCCTCTTCGCGGGTGCTCTTCAACGTCTTCATAAACTCTACTTTATCTATCGATTAATCCCGCTCGTGATTAGTTAATAAAGAAATTGATAGAAAATGAAACTTACAAATTTCCTGTACCTTCCTGTGATCGTTGACCGTTTTCATCGAAGATTCCTTATCCGATTCGAGCTTAAAAGTGGTCTCGGTCTCCTTCCACTTCAGCACTTTGGAGTTGACGTACGTCACGTTGACCCGCTCCTCCATCTCCACCAGTTTCTCCCTCTTGTCGCTCCCGTCGGCCCTGCCAATGGTCTTGTACAAATCGGCGGAGAACCGCTGGACGAACCGCTCGATTTCCTCCTCTTTGGGCTTCTCCTTCGACTTCTTCAGGCTGCTCAGCGTGTCCTCCATCAGCGATATGAGCTTGTTCTTCATGTCGACGCCCGGCTTGAGGAAGTCCTCGCCCCATTTCCACAGGCCGCCCAGGCTGGGCGCCTCCGCGTGGTTCACCACGTACTTCTGGGTGTATTTGTCGGAGACGCCCTTCGGGTGGTTGTTCGCGGGTTTCGCGACGTTATGATGGGGTATTTCCATTCTGATCTGACTGGCGTAGCTGGTGACCTTATTTATGTGCGTCATGATCTTCGTGATGATCCTTTTGAAGTAGTCTTTCGCCACCGAGCGCTCCTCCTGGGCGGCCACCCGCGCTTCCAGCGACTTGATTCTATCCTGGAGGTGCTTGAAATAGTACTGGCAATGCGAGTGGTTCCAATTCCCGTCTGCTAGCTTCTTTTTAGTGGCGTTGAATTCCTCTTTGGAGAGCTTCCTGGTGCTGGAGCGCGTCGTTTCGGCGGCGAAGGGTCTCTTCTGCGCGTCGGCCAGTACGCCTAGAATGGAGCAATTCTTGCACGTGCAGGGCTCTTCCGGTTTCAAATTCACGTCTCGCTGGTACTTGTTCAGGCATTCGAACATCGAGTTTAGCTCCGTAAAGGTCCTGGAAGCCGTGTAGACTTGCTTGATCTTGTCTTTGTCCATTTCGGTCAAGCTGCCCAACTCCGGTTTATTCAAATTGCTGCGGAATAATGGATTGAGTAGCGCAATAACCAATAGATCGAGACTAATACATTTACCGTTTACACGCTGGGGAAGTACGGGGTTCGACGGTTGGAGGGGCGAACTTATCCATCGGACTCTTATGATTGGGTTTGCCAGTAGAGGTGTCTTTGGCAGGGCGGGAGGTTGAAGCGCTGGTTTTCCGCTCGGTCGCAGTCATGGCCTCGATGAACTTCTTCACCTCCTCGCCGGTCATTATCCGTTTCTGGGCGGTGTAGAGGTCGTCGGAGCGCGGTTTGAGCACCGTCACGTCCAACATGGCGTCGGCGTGTTTCTCCGGGGAGGCGATGATCGCTTTGACCTCGTCGTCCATCTCCAGCTCGAGGGTGAGCTCGACGTCTTTGTCCGGTGCATGTTTGTTAGCTTCTTTGCATTTTACTCTCTGCGCGGTCGGTTTGAGCATTATTGAGCGACACTCATCGTAGGGGCTTTTGTGTGTATTTATTTTTTAGATAGATTGAGAATTTTGCGTAATTTCGCATTCGTCGACATGATAGTTTGACGTTTTGAAATAACGTTTATAGGGGTTAAATGTTTGATTGTTTATGATTTGTCGACTGAACGCTTTTATACAAATGTGGCTGGATGGCTTAATTGACCAGGCAACTGTATACACACCGGACGAGGCCAGGAAAACGAAGACTGCGAATGTTCCATGATTCCTCTAATCACAGAACATTATAATAAAACGAAATGACAGTGCTAATAAGTTAGGTTATGGTTGTTATAAAGTTTATTTTTCAAAAATGTCGAAAAGAATATTAGAAATAGGCAAAAATAGCAGTAATAAGAAGCCCAAATTAGATTCGGATACAAATTTATTGTGGGATGATGATTTAGATGAGAGTGTATTTGATGATTGCATGCAACTTGCAACTCAGTATTTAACCCAAGTAAGATCATCATTATATTATGAATTATTAATTTAATAAAATCCACTATGAATTATTTGATTTTATCAGGGAACTACAAGTAAAAATGATGGCTGTGTACCAACTTACGAGGCATTCAAAGCGCCCAAAACCTTATTTTGCTCCACACAAGTAAATTCTACTGTTATTCGCACGACTACCTCCGAAAGTGATTTAGAAAATTACAAAATCAAATATGAAGAAAAAGAGGGCGAAATTATTATTCTAAGGAACCAGCTAAGAGAAATAAAAACCAATAATAACTCCGAATATCAAAAAACTCTCTCAGAATACAAGGAAAAGTTGAATTTATCTGAGCGTCAAGTACACTCTGTTAAAAGTGAATTGGAGTTTAAGGTAACATACAGTGTGTCCCAGAAACTTTCAGAGGTAGTGGTACATTCAAAAATATTCTCGAAAGTGCTATTACCTCTATAAGTTTGAGCATATATTTTATGAAACACCCCATATAATCAAATTAATTATTCCACAGAATTTAGAAATAATGAATTTAAAACAAAAAATAGAATCTCTGAAAAAACAAAACCTAAATGCAACTATAAACGGTACAATCAACAGCCCTAATCGTAAATCAATCGACAAATTTATTCAACCGAACAAGGTTTTCGAAAATAAAATTTATCCGTCTGTTAATGAAGGTAAACATATCAAAAATATGCTTAACAATACATTAAATAGTACTAATTTTAGAGTATCCTTTGAAACACATATTCTTCGAATCGTTTTTAACAATTCCTACAAAGGAAAAGTTCATAATCGACAGCAAATTGAACCATAGCTTAAAAAGCAAAGGGGCTACTTCGCGTGTGGTGTTAGATAAAAGTAGAGGAGATGTTCGAAGAATATATCCCAATTTATTGAAATTATGCAACTATACCACAGAAGAATTGGATTCCTACAGGACTATTGAGGACATAACTTTGGTAAATTTCCAAGTCCTGTCTAAATAAGTAATAAATAACGAATTTCTGTAGATAGTTTTCGTGTGTTTTCAATCGTTGGAAGATTTGTTAGATCTGTTAGAAGAAATTAAGAGAAACTTACAAACGGAAGATCTTCTGGAAGCAGATACGTTGTATTTGAAAAGTACAGAAATTAATCAATGGTAAACAAAAAATACTTGACTCAATTCTGATGTTTTTACTAATAATTTTGTTTCAGCGAATTAAGGAATGAGCTGGGAAGAAAATCGGCATTTATCTTAAACTGTTTATCTATTTTAGTTATGCACTGTACGTGTTTGAAAGAATATTTCATTTATAACAAAGATTTGTGCACAAGAGAGAGCTTGACTCGAAACTCCTCGCTTCCGACTGTTAGCAGAGCAGTGAAAGGCCACGAGTTTTTGAATAAAATACTCGCTATTCTAAATCTAGCCGGAGAAATTGTACTTTTTCAAAGCAAGCAAACTGCTACCAACTAATTTGTATTTTTTTTAGAGAAAATCGAATGTGATTGTCTCGTTTTTGAACTCGGGAATCAAATTGATGACGAATATTTGCAAAGTGAATGGTTATAGTTACTTGTAAGTTGTTTTATTTTTAGTATACATGCATCTTCTAAAACTCTATTTTTAGATCGGAAACCGTTTGTAATTTTACCAAAGAATTGATATTTATGAGGCCTCCTGTAGACGTAACTTTTAATTTGATTTGCTTGCTCGTTGAAGCATCCAGATTCGCAACGTTCATTAAATTCCTGTTTAAAAAAACCGCCGAATGCTCCAAAATAAAAAACGGAATTTTACATTTTACTGAAGGTAAATAAATAATTACCAAACAAATAGAACTCCTAACTCATTGCCGTTTTTTTAGGAGATTGCTGTTTTTACATTTACGTATTATTATTTAATAGAGGATTAAGTAACCAAAAATCCATTCCAATAGAGACATGTTTAAATATGATGCATTTTATTTATAATACATACACGTTTTTGTATTCCCTACATCATATAGATATTAGAAAGTAATTTTATACTTAATTGATTCGGATATGTTATTAATAATTCCGTTTTTAAGGTGCGAGTGTCTACCTCAGTTGTATAAGTTAGAAATAGAATTGATATACAAGATGTTAGACTTATATGCGGATGAAACTGAAAGAGGGATAACATCAGATAATTGGTGGAATTTTTTTAACACGGGTATCGTTTTAAAAGTGCTAAATTTAATGACCTATCATTGTTACGATTTGACAGAGGGGTTCATCATTGCTTATTCACAGTTGAAAGAAATAGAAAGGAGGGCCAGAGAAAATGAAGGTTGGTATTTGTTAATATTGTAGTTACATATAATTATTATTGTTAATTTTTTAGTTTGTCAATTGAGTAAATTGAATATCAACGTAGATGAAGACGTTCCAAATGTTAACAGCAAGAAATTCGATGATATTGTCTTATAGTTAATGCTAAATTCGTTATTATGTATTAGTTTAATTGAAACGATTTTTTAAATTGTTTTTTATAAAATTCTATTATATTTAGGAATAATAAACAACTTAATTACAAGATAATAGAGTTAACGCACTGATCACTTTTTTTCGTCCAATTTTTTAATCAAAGTATCTATTAAATTCGCATCGACTAATCCTATGAATTTGTCTATGACTAGTCCATCTTTTACAGCCAGTACGGCCGGTACCGCTTTGACTTCGAACGTGTGAACCAATTCGGGATTGTGTTCCACATCGATTATTGCTAGATCAACATCAGTCCTGGGTTCTATCAGTTCTTTCATTTTTGGCGTTAAAATATGGCACGGTTCGCACCATTCGGCGTGAAAGTTCACTATAACCGGATTCTTGGAGTTCATAACTTTCGCTAAGAACTCATCGTTGTTCGTTATGGTGATGATTTTTTTTAAAGAGGAATTGGTGGAAATTGTCCTTTTGTATATTTGTAATGTTCTCGCTAGTTTGTTCATCTTTGGGTGTTAATGTATTAATGTTCCGTGTAGAAGCTGTTGACGGGTTTCGGTCTAATCGGTACCGTGCAATGGAGTACAAAAAATGCTAGAAATCCTATTAGGCAGCTAAATAGCAAGAAGGAGAGTAGAAGATTCTTGTAAACGAAACAATAATCTTTATCCTGAAATTATAACATGTTTATAACTCGTTAATATCAAGATTCCTTTACTCACAACAACTTCAGACTCTTCGATAGGTATTCCCTTGTCCGTAGGAATGATCAACAGCAGTATCGTTACAGCTGTAGTGGAACCAAGAGTTATCCAAGAAATATTGCTCTGGAATTTTACGCCTATTACGAACACGATCAACGTAACGATCCAAAGGATTACTAACAGAAAAATACCAATACCGATATTTCCAATAGTCGTCATAACTAAAAAGTACAAGTTTAAATTGTTATGTTTACGATTGGTTATGTTTGTATTTCACAGCTCACCATAGTAACCGTTTAAAATATAACTATCGTTCTTGTAACAAAACAACACATTCACATAAATTACTTTTTAAAATCAACATAAAAAATAAAGGTCAAAAAATGACAATTTGTAATGCACGTAACCCATAACTTTTTTTGCAGTTGGTTAGTCACACCTTAAGGCAAAGGCCACTTACTAAAATGTATTTTCTATTTGTTTATTTTATACTTGTCATAAAATTAGCAACGTAATGTAGTAACGAATATTTATAAACAAGTATTTTCCAATTCAAATTCGTTATATGAATCAAAATTAACCATTAGTGATCGTCGATTGGTGCATTTCGTCTGTCACACGTCAAACAGCTGATTTGTTTGTTATCGCGCAGCGCCCTCTGCAGGCGAAATTCGATTCGTTCAAAGTTGTCTCAGTGCGAATAGCGGAGAGGCGAGTTCAATCCGGTGGGGAAGAGGCACTCGTTTGTAGTTCAAATAAAATGAGTTCGAGTTCGACGGATTGTGATTGTGCCGGCGCCGGTTTAGCGATACCGATACACCAGTGCGCCGTGTGCGGCGGCAAAGACAATCTACAGAGGTGCACCCGCTGCAGGACCACCTATTACTGCTGCAAAGACCACCAACTACAAGACTGGAAGAAGCACAAGGGGCTCTGCAAGAAGCTCGACAAGCCGCTAGTAGAAAACAAGTACGGACACTTCCTCGACGATCAAATACCCAGCGTAGCTCTGCCCACCGAAGGCAGTTCGGAGAACGAAATCCTCAGCTCCCTGGGCGAACAACTAGCCCCGAACAACAACTACAAAGGCCTCCAGACGTCCCCGACGGAGAAGACGGCGAACGCGGCGCCCGCCATGCCGGTATCTGGGGAGAATGTGCCCAAACGAAGGCTCAAAGACTTGCCTGAGATATCCCTCAGCCCCCCGAATCTAGACGACGACGAGTACATCAAAGACATGAGCGAGATCGTCATAAAGGACATGAGAAACTACGGTCTGTGCGTTTTAGATAACTTCCTGGGCAGCGAACGGGGCAGGAACGTCCTCTCCGAGGTGTTGCTAATGGAGCGAGAAGGGGTCTTCAGAGACGGGCAATTGGTGTCCTCTAAAGGGGACGAAGACAGCAAGACTATACGAAGCGACCAGATTTGCTGGGTGCACGGTAAAGAGCCCAATTGCCCCAACATCGGGTATCTCGTGAGTAAGGTCGATGCTGTTATTACGAGGGCCAATCGGAGGGATAAAATCGGGCAATTGGGGCAGTACAATATCAACGGAAGGACTAAGGTAATTTTATTTTATTTTATTTTATTTTCTCGTATGTGGAATTTTACCAAATTGTAAAAGTTGGTTCTTTGGGGATAGGAAAAAATGTAAATACGAGTTTGTTTTATCTGTTCAAGTTTTTCAACAACATTTCTGGTGTTAATGGAACAATACAAGTACATTAAATTGAAATTTTGATTGTAGGTTTAAAATTGTTTATTGGAAATGATATTATCTTTAACGAGTTTGTAAAATGTTTTTGCAGGGATAGGTACCTATGAATTTTTGAAAATTGATTAATTATCACACCAAAGTATAAATAGAATTTGTTTTCTGTCCAGAAATAATGTTTTAAATTGTGAATTGCAGATCTTCTTTAATATAGAATTTGAATATTGATTTCACTGTTAATTTGTTTCTGCTTTTATGGCAGAAATGAAAAAAAAAATCATTTTTATTATATTTGCACTGATAATTTATTTTTATGTACCTTCAATAATGATAATTTTAATACAAAACTTATCAATAAACCAAACGAAAGTGGAATAGCAACACAGTACTGAAAAATCTCTTTGAATAAAAAAAATGCATATTGTATACATAGTAAAAGATAAAATTAAAATAAATAGATACCTAAATGCACCGGTGACATCATATTTGGATATCTAATTTTACACATCCATAAATTTAATAATGTCTCGCCATTTATTATTATGAAACTCCGATTTTGATTGCCCTTTAAAGCGCCTTTAACATTCCACTTTTTACATCATCGTAACAGCCCAAAAATTGCATAAGAATGCGAATTTCAACCGGTTATGACCTGACCTCACGCATTTTCCGCGAGAATCACAAGGTCTCTTTAACAAAAAATATACAAAACGACTGTCAATTCGCAATTCCAGACCGGTTTTCTCCCTTTTGCAACGAGGGACATTCCATTTGTAACGCGATAAAAGTTTCCAATTTCGAATTACATCTGCGAGTAGGCGCGTTATCTAATCCTAAATCCAAGGAAGCGAAATGCACGTACGCATCCGACATGATTACTCAGAGAAGGCAAATTTCGAGCGATAGGTGTAGAGAAAAAAATAAATAAAATACGACCGAAATTGAAACGGGGAAAAATGTGTTATCGAGCGCGCAAAAACGCCGAACGAAAGCGACAACGAGCATGTTGTATTGTGTACATACACATGCACACGTACCGCGTGTGTACGTGACCCGAGGCAGATACTATTTTCGATATATTCGAACTACCGCACAGAAATGTTTGAATGCCGCGAAACGAGATAGGGATAAATCGCGCGTCGCCTTCCATTCATTACCTATCGGGGAAATTACGAATGGAATCGTTCTGTATCTAATTCGGAGTATTAGTTATTTGTTATTTCGGTTATTTTTATTGCCGTTTGGATGGTTTATTGATTTTTAGTTGTTGGTTGGTTAATTATTATTGCCTTATTAAATTATTCATAGAATGGAAATTTATTAAATTGTTACATATTTTTTTCTCATAACTCGACAATTATTATTCCAGACAGAAATTTCTAATTGTTACAACGCCCTGAATATTAAATTTTCTATGGAACTCGAGTTAATTTTTATCCATATTTATGCATTAATATCGAAATTACAGGTTTATTTCCGCATCACTTATAATAAAATAAAACATATTTGAGAAAACCGCATGTTTTTATGATTAGGCGTTTAATAATTATTAGCTACTTTTCATTGGGACACCCTGTATTATTGAGCAATTTTATTGACCAGTTTATTTTGTACTACAAATAATAAGATATCCGGTTATTTTTTTTTAGAAATGCAGTTTCGTTGGCGCCCCGACAAAATGCGTACTATAAATAAAAGTATAAAAGTAAATAGCAAATTTTAACAAGATTTGCGTTATCACCTTCAAGTAATTAGAAGCCGATCGATATCGGTAATTCCAGTGATTTTTACGATGCAACGATTACTGAATTTTTCCCACAAACAATACAATAATTTTCAACAATTTATTTCGTATTTTTTTCTTTCATTCGCACACGATTTATGTGAGCATACAAACCGCGAATTCATGAAGTTTCACAAATACTTTGCACCAAGGCCGGATTTAGATGAATAGAGGCCCCAGGTACTCCACTTATGAGACTTCACTTGATTTCGAGGTCCTCAGTCTCTAGGAAAATCCGGCCCTGCTTTGTACCTTTAAATTACCATCTAAGCTTCTGGTGACGACCTTAAAAAAGGCTGTAATGTATGGCTTTTTCCAGGCTATGGTGGCTTGTTATCCAGGCTTGGGAGCCCACTACGTGAAACACGTGGACAATCCGAATAGGGACGGTAGATGTATAACGGCCATTTACTATCTGAATTTAAACTGGGACGTACAACGAAGCGGCGGTCTCTTGCGGATATTCCCGGAAGGATGGAGAGAGGATAAGGTAAATGAATGAATATTTAGGGTTCATTATGAGCTGCAATCAAGCCTGTAAGGGGTGTTAATGTAGAGTTATTATGTGATATTTTTAGGTGGCTGACATCGAGCCCATTTTCGATAGACTGCTGTTCTTCTGGTCGGATCGAAGGAATCCCCACGAAGTCCAACCCGCCTTCAATACGCGCTACGCCATTACGCTGTGGTATTTCGATGCAGTGGAAAGAGAAGAGGCGCTCAGGAGATACGAAAGAGAACGTACGTATAATTTTATTATTCCTATTACAGTTTAATTTTATCGTCCCGTTATTATATTTTTAGGAAGAGCGACGATTCAACCAAAATGACGAGTTACCTACTGTTATTTCGAAGCGAATTTATATGATAGTCGTTGTTTTTTTTTTAAGAAATACGTCCTTTGTAAATAATCGTAAATTTTATATTTTATTTTAGTAACTCTACGGACGAAAGTGTGATATTTGATTAATGTAATATGTACTTGCGGATAGCGTACGATCCGATCGCGTTCGGCAAGTATTAAATTATTGTTGTGTGTAAGTTATGCGAATATATAACGAAGAGACTATTTTGACTATTCCCGTATCGTAGATATGGAGTAAATATATTTTTTTTAATTGTTACGTAATTGACAGAAAATTCGTTTGTTCGTTCATATTGGAAATTAATAAATTCCCTTAACTACCATAAATATGTTTATTTTCTTAGTTCTATAAAGTACATTCGTCTATTGTATTCGAATAGGGTATATACGATAAAAATTGGAAACCGCTCTCGCAAAACGAACCCTAAAATCAAAAATATTTTAGAAAAATACAGTACCTTCATGTTAATCATGTCATGACGTAACGTATACTCTATACTAAATTTTAAGATCGTGACGTCATCATAACACTATAACAATATTTTCCTTACGGGATTAGCAATTCGGCATTCTTTGTAATCGCCTTGGTACGATTCGCACTTATCCCCAATAACAACTAAATCGGGCAATGGATATAATCGTAGACAGTAATCGTAATCCCATTGTACAGTCAATGCGTTCAAAGACAAAGGACTCAGATGGCCTTGACTTACGATCGTGCGTCTCACCTAAAACGATAATAAATTAAGTCTAAATGCAATCGGTGAGTTAAATATACTTACGGAATCTAACAGTTCGTCTTTGGAAGGTTTGTGTAAAGTTCCCCGCAGCAATTTCGGCATCAAGTCGGCCCTAAACAGCACTATTTCTCTCGTGCAGTACTGTATTCGACAGGGATTCGTGGCGAACGTAGCTTTCGGTACTAGTTTTTTTATATCGCTCGTTACATAACTGGGAAGACCGAATCTAAAATAAAAAATCCACTTAAACTCGAGCAATTAAATGTATTAATCGCTTTACCTCGGGACGATGTGGGGCATGCACGGGTCCGTCATGCCGGGCACAAAAATGAACTGCGAGTTTTTAGCCAAGCTGGGGAACTTGACGATCAATTCCCCCAACCTTTTGAAATGCTTTTTCAACACGTCCATCATTTCGCTTCCGTGGGAATTCGACATGAAGTTTCCCATGAAAACGAAAGCTACCGGATCGACGTCCTGAAAACCGCTAAAAAGCGATTCCAACTTATCGAACACCTGCAATTACGTTAGTTTAAATGTCCTAGAGTACGGGTTATTCGAAAAAATGTACATATTACTAAAACACTTTTAAAAACTACACCAAATAATCCCAGTTCGGATTCAAATAGTATCGGTTCTCCAACCGTCCGAGTACCGATGCGGTATTTGCTTTAGACTCTACGTTAATATCGACCAAATGTTCAGCGAAAGCCTCCCATTCGCAAGACTCCAGTTCGTATGATAATCTACCGATGAGCACGTCCACTTTACCGGATTTTCTCACGCACACTTTACCGATCTTCCCTTCGGGCATATCGGTGAGATGATAATCCATCAGTTGGCCGTGGGTTTCCTTTTTGAAATTGAAAGAGTCCGGTAATTCCCATAGATTGAGGTGCGATTTGAGCTTGTCGAGTTCTATGCGATCTTTGTGAGTTTGGGTTTCAGTTTTAACTCTCGCGAAGAAGGCTTCATTCCAATCTATCGGAGTAAACGGCAATGTTTCTTCGGTATCTGTGTCGCTGTCTAAGCAGTACCTCGGGTTTAATTCTTTGTGTAATTTGTATTCCGTTTTCACGTCGATTTCGTTTGGTTTTTCCACGGGCGGTTTGATCGAGACGACCTTTTCGAAGCTACATTGCTTTTTGAATAGCAACGATGGAGCTAAACTGGGAGCATCAGATATAATTCCTTCGGAAAAAACGCCTGTAGATTGGATGAATTTAGGTTTAATCCTCTCTCGGCCTTTCAAGTGCCTCGGTTTCGGTTTCTCCGCTTCCTTCAGCTTGTTTTCGATGTTGGTTTTATTTCGAACTACATTTAAATTGGGTTTGTACACTTTCTTATTCAGTTTGGAACCTCCCAGGCTCAAATCTCGCGGTAATTTTATCGAAGCCAGACGATGTGAAGGGGAATCCTTGACGAAATCTTTTAAGCACAGTTTCTGTATTTTTTTAGTACTCATAATTATAAATAACTTAAAAATTAAAATTAAACTTTTGTTTACAAACTAATTTCATATGACTGACATTTGACATTAACATGTGTCAAATTTTCGTTACTTATGCAACACTCATTACAAACGAGTTAAGAGTGTTGCCTAACTTTAGGTACTTACATTTGGGTAATCCAACCATAAATCTGAGAAAAACAGCATAAAATCAGATTTGTTTCGAGCCATTTGCTCTTTTAGCCGGACAGAATCTCTTAGAGGTACCTTGGAGGGACCACCAAAATAGTTTATATTTCCAAATATTGGCCTAAAACATAAAAAAGTTGAAACGAATGGAATAAGTGAAAAACAACTTACCTAGAATTTTTGTAATCTTCACCGGGGGGTAAAACAATGGAAGATACATGAAGTATTTTATCCTCGTAGTATCCATTGACTAAAACTAAGCAGCTTTCGTTGAAAAATCCGGAATTAAATCTAAAAATAATCGATTAAAGGTGATTAACTGATCGATGAATAGTATAATCTTACTTTGCGTGAATTAAGTTTAATTCGATAATGCCAGAAGGGTCCTCTAAGCACCACTTCCCTTCGGATATTTGATAGAGCGATCCCAAAATTAAAGTTTTATCCAATGTCGTTTTTCGAAGAGCCAATAAATAATCAACAGTTTGCAATTTGAGCTCGTCCCCTTTTAAAAGAAAGTTACGTTTAGTCCTTTGCAATACTGTCGTGTAACGTTCCAAGAACAGTCTCGCCTTAGATTCGGCATTTGCCAATATTTGGGGTTTCTCATCTACGATATAATACTGTTTTCGCTTTAAATTGTACGAAAGTTTCGGAAAATCAAAGGCATTGATCACACTGAATGTAGATTCTGTATTATCATATCCTCTGTTGAAGCACATTTGAATTGCCTCTTCGATGTGCTCTTTTTCGATGCTCCTTTCTATCAGACATTGATTTTCTAAACTATTACATATACTAACGACGAGATTATCGAAATTTTCTTTATCTGTTACGTCTACTCCTTCATCTATAAATTTTTCTAGTATGTACTCACAGAAGGTTCTAAAAAGAAAGGTAATTGGATATAACAGTTTATAAATTAAGTGTTTGCTTACCGTCTTATAATAAAACCTCCTATTTTAAATGAGTTTTGTAACTTTTTCACTACTTTTTCTTTATCCATTTCAATTATTTATTATTTATTTGTTCTAACCTAAATACTGTTTATTTTATTTATATTCCCGCCAATTATATGACAATAGATGACAGTAGGTGAAATACTCATATATTAAAAAAAGAAGAAAGTAATGACATTTGATTTGACGTTTAATGTGTTTACGTCAACGAATATTCTGTGTAGGAAAAAAATGTGAAGTGAAAAACAAACATAATTGATTTATTTAGTTTTAATCTACAATGAATGTTCTTGCAATACAATAAAAATGGTATATAGTCTCTTCAGTATTCATTGATAACTGAAATGTTCACGAAGAGAAATCTCGTCGATATAAAAAAATCAACAGCCAAGCTCCAAGACCCCAAAAAAGACGTAGCGACTAGAGTGAAGCATTTGAAAATAATATTAGGTAAGTTATTTGAACAAACGTTAGATTATACATCAATTTAACGGATCGATTTCAGAAAATGTCGATACATCCGAAGCCAAAGGGTTTTTCGAAGCCAATTTTAGTCATATTTACAACATCCTGTACGAGAGTTTCGTCCAAACAGAAACGAATTTGAGACAACGTGGTGAGTTTTTCAATAACATTCCGCTCTATCGTGTAAATAATTTTATTGTAGTCCTGTTTGTTGGGAGTGGTGAAGGTTTTATTTTGTGCGTGTGATCCACATCATATTGTGCACCTAATTTTAATTATACGATCATTTCTAAATTTGGGCAAGGTGTTAATTAACTTGTACACTCCGTTCGGGGCTGTGTTGTCCATAAAAAATCGAATAATCCCCTTGTTATTGACTTATGAATTATTATTATTAAACGAATACAGAGTGTATTCTAATCGGTTCTGTTATTGAAGTTGCATTATGTTACTCATTTTCTATTTCACATGTAAATAATTCATTAATTGCTAATTATGTTTCTCGTGGTGGCAGAGCTGTCATTTCATCTCGGTAAGTCTTCGCCGAACGCGTTTAACCCGAAAGGAAATGGCTAATTTCATTTAAAATCTCTAGTGCACAAGGCTCACAAGGAAGAACTGGAAGGGACCCTTTGGATTTTAGAGCAAGTTCTCTGCCTCATACCCGAACTCATACACAGAAGATGGCAGTTACATTCCCTGAGCAGGTTGCTGGTGAAGCTGCTGCATTTCGGAAATTCCATAAAGCTCAGAAGACAAGGCATAAGGTTCGAGAGTATAACGAATTGATTCGATCAGATTTTAATATTTTTTTTTTTTGTAGATTCTTTTTGATGTGGTACCAAGCTTTGAATGACAACGCGCCCGAATATGTTCACAATATGTTTGGGGCTCTGGTGCCCGGGTTCGGTAACCAAAATGTATTCCAATCGCAGAATAGCGGCAGCGTTTTCCACGATACCAGCTCACAATTTCCGATTACCGCGACCGAATTACTGCCGATTTTGCCGCCTTCGAGCGGCGAAAGACCACCCGATCATTCCAGCAAATTTTACTTAGAGGCTCTACTGGAGTATATGGTTCATACGGTACAGTTTGCCGGCCATTGATATTGTTTGTATTAAAATCAAACGTGTATTTTAGGTTGTGAAGTTAGAATGGCAAGACAAAACCGCCCACCATCACAGGTGTTTCAGTTTCTTGCTGGAAAAATTCAAATTGTACTACGTACCTAAAATTTGCCCCAACTTTTGCAAAGAATCGTCCCTGTACGCGCCTAATTTGGGTAATCTACCGGCGATTTGTCGTCTTTCGAGAGGCTAATTTATTTTTATTTCAGATCTGCCTACGTTGAGGAAACCGGAAAGCGACAACGAATACGTACATTGCAGGGTAATTTTGATCCTGTGGGCCATAAACTACTTGCATCAGACGAAAAGGGGCCACGACAACCGCGATTCGGCCTCGATTCCTTCCGTACAACACGCACAGTCACCGTCTCAGTATTCCCAACATTCCCACGACTCCCACGAGGAGGACACCCAACACGATTCCTCCCATCCTAGCTTAGACTCTTGTAAGTACCACCTAATAACTCCCATAAGGGGTAATAAAAGAAATGTGTTTGTAGCTCTTTCGATTCAAACGAGCCGGGCGACATCGGACGAAGAACTGGCCCCGCAAATCGTGCGCGAGGTGTTCTACAGCAACAGGGACAACGTGAACTTCGTGCACGAACTGTACAGGCAGGCGTTCCTGTTGAGTTTCGCGCACGTGCCGGCCATCAGGAAGGTGATCGGTTTGTACAAAGATCTGATCCAATTGAACGTGCTCGAATTGCCCCCGTACGCGTTGGAATCGCCCGAGGAGACCGCTCGCGACGAAGACGCCGCCGAGGGCGACGCCCGGCCGACGTCCAGACTGCGAACCGACTCCTATATCGGGGCGATACTCAAGGAGAATCTGCTAGTTAGAGCCGGAACACAGGTGTGTGTTTTTGTTACGGCCGTATATTTATAAGGTCTGGAAACAGGAAAAAGTGTCCCCTTATTTGAGGATAAAACAGGGTTCCTAAAACGGCCGCTAGGAGGCGATGTTGTAAAGGACCACGATTTTTTGCGTATGAATTATATAGAATTAGAATTAAGAAAGGCTTTATTCAAACTAAAAATAGATACAACATATAAAAATATACTAAATCAGCGATGATTTTGTTGTTAACATCTTGCCTCGCGTATCTTCGGTTAATGTATTTCTCCATTTTCTTCTCGAAATGTCAAAAAATAATTTTTGAAGTTTTGACACTTCTGACAGCTTGAACTGTCGTTTCACAACCGCGATTTATGTGAAGCTCAAAAAGCCTTTTCTAATTCATAAGCATAAGCTGTTTCCAGACCTTAGAAATATAGGGCAGTGATTTTAGTACATGTATTTATATTGTTGTTGAATTTCTGTTTTAGAATTTGTACCAAGTCTTTATGACTAACGCAGCGAACGTTTTTCTCGTTGAAATAAACTCGAACATTCCGAGAATGCTGGAAGAGCAGACGGACGCTTGTAAAAGGGTGTTGAACGTCTATCGATACATGGTGATGAATACGAGGATGGACAGTAACACTTGGTAAATTTTTGGCAACGTTGCTTTTCTTTCGAGTATATCATCGATATAATTGTTCGTTCGTAGGGAACAATTGTTATTGGTGCTCCTTCAAATCACGTCGCTGGTGCTCGGCGAGAATCCCCCGAAGAAAAAGGCTAGTACGCTAGGCGGGAAACTGGCTCCGGCGATATTCCAGACGTTGATAGTCACCTGGATAAAAGCCAATTTGAACGTATTGATATCCAGAGAACTGTGGGACCGTTTCTTGCACGTTTTAACCACCCTAACCGTTTGGGAGGAACTAATCAAAGAATGGGCGGTTAGTGGACATTCCGTACTTATTTATATCGTATTAATCGGTACTACGTTCGATTGTAGAAAACCATGGAGACGCTCACGAGAGTCCTAGCGCGACACGTCTACAATTTGGACCTGACCAATCTGCCGTTGGACCGATTGAACGAGTGCAGATCGAAGAGGAGCCGCCGGCCCGCGATCCGATCGGAGATCAACGCGACGTGCGGCGTCGCCGAAACGACGCATCGAACCGTCTCCCGACAGGATTCGATGTTGCCCGATCACCATTCGTCGTCCAGACGCACTCGAACGACGTTGACGAGGAGCTACAGCGACAACGATTTGTCTGCGAAGAGACGATCGGCGCAAATCAAGCGCAGGAATGTGAGTTCCACACGCTCCGCTCTACTACTCACTAGTTTATTTTCTGATTGATGTTTGTAGTTGAGTAGAAGGCGATCGAAATCGTTGGAAACGGTTTGCCCGGTGCCCGATACGGAGTCGACCGATCGCACGCGTTCGCCCAGTCCGGCGCCCTCCAGCGGCATCGAAACGAATTCCATCAAGGATTCCCCGATGCAATTGGACGTGCTGTCGGCCGAGCAGCACGGCTCGGAGCCGTCCGGCGAGAACCGGGGCGTCATCTGCGGGGGCTCGGTGAGAGGCTGGTTGCCCGACGTCGCCGTCATACTGTGGAAGAGAATGCTAGGTAGGCGCGTTCGTGTTGGAGCGTGTTAGGAAAAAGGGTAATCGAATGGATTTGCAGGCGCTTTGGGCGACGTGAACGGCATCGCGGATCCGGCGCTGCACGCGCAAGTGTTCGAATACCTGGTGAAGTTGACGGAGACGCTGATTAGGATCGGTCGCAATCAGGGGGTGTCCTGCGACAACATGAGCACGCCCCAACCGCCCGAATTGGTGCCGCCATTGGCGCTGGTGTTGCCTTGGTGTTTCGGGGCTTTGGTGTTGCCCGGCGTCTACGAGGCGGGGAAACTGAACGCCCTGAGGCTCATTTGTACTATAACCGTTAACTGTGATAACAAACACTTGACTTGTCTGCCGGAAATTTACAGATTCTTGCATATAGGCGAGTACTATCGAATATCTCGAACGCATTTCGTATGAACTATTTTTTTTTTTTTGTAGCTTTAACTGGTAGTTCGAAGCTGGTGATCAACACGTGTCTGAAGTATCTGGGGCCGCGTTTCTTCTCGCTGCAGCTGCCCGGCGCTTCGTTGTTGCTGTTGGACTTCATCAACGCCTGCAACGTGACGTTGAACAACGTGGAAAAGCTGGAGTTGTCGCCGAGAACGGAGGCCGTATCGTTGCTGGCGAATTTGCTCGCGCAAAGCGAGAATTTGAACGCGATATCCGTACTGCAACCCGATTCCGAAATGCGCGTTATAACTTGTCCCGATATCAAGGTATACTTTTATTAGTGTTATTTAATGTAACAAAATTAATTCGTGTTATTGTTTATAGGAACATATAGTCAACATTCTTCTACGCGCCGGTAGAAGGGAACCTAAAGGCAAAGCGCGATGCATAGCCCTATCCGCTCTAGGTATATTCGTCTATAGGGAATTAAATAACGAAACTTTCCACGCCAAACTAATCGACGCCCTTAGCGTAGTACTGCTAGCTTTAAAAGTAAGACAATCATACTTCCGACATTTCCCGATTCACCATTAACTCTCCGCTTTCAGTTCAACAACAAAATAATAGCCCAATCGGCCAGCAACGTGCTGTTTTTATTATGCGACTTCGCGCCGTTGCTGTGGAGCCGCTACCCTCGATTGGGCAATTCGGTGATATCCACGCTGTGCTCGGCCCTGTTTCTGCACGCCCCGTTGGGCTCCACCGCCGGCGAGAGCGACAAGGCCCTCGGTACGGCGCTGCTCTTTTGCCTCGGCGAGTGGTGCATGAAGTTAGGACCGGAACGGTTGCTGGAGGTGTCCGAATACGGCGACAGCAGAGGCAGTTGCCTCTTACTGCAAGTGTTTACGGTACGTAGAAATGCGTTTAAAACTGTCACATGTCACGTGGATTGGTCACAGGTTCGGTTTTAATTAGAGGGAATAGAGCAAAGATGTTGTACTCTATAAATGTCTCACGCTTTAGGTTAAAACGAAATTGTAATACCGATTCGCACGGGCAGAGGACGCTTAGTCGGTAAAGAAGGGATCTTGTTCATGAAGTTGACGTTTGACGTTGACATTTATATTTAAATTCAAATTGTAATTTGGTTTTTCAAACTAAAATAATTTATTTATGAATAAAACAATTTAACAGTAACATTCACACCACAAACATAACTCAAAATTGATCTTTAAAACAGAATTACAGTTTAAAGTCAACTTTTGTGTTCAAACGCCAACTTGATGATCAAAAAAGTCGATCTACAAAAATGAGACCAGTTTTTAATAAGGATAATAGAAGAATTGGATCACCTGGATCAAAGCAAAGCATAGGGAGAACTGGAAGAAGTTGTAGGAGGCCCATGTTCAGTAATGGGTTCAAAAAAGGACTGATAACAAATATAAAAAACATTTCTTTATTCACCAAGATCCGTACTTTCTATTCCATTCGTCGTATTTGGCGCAATCCGAGTCCCTGACGCACGTACCGATCGTCTCCAACGCTTTTTCCACGTCTTTGAAAGAGACTTTTCTCAAATTCGTGTGGGTCCTGTTGGTACCGTTGGCGCCGATTTCTCGAATCTTCTCCCTGATCGCGATCATCGCCACCTCTTTGCACAGCCCCTTCACGTCGGACCCCGAAAACTTCTCCGTCCGTTTGGCGACGCGTTGCAAATCCGCCTCGTCCAGCTCGTTGGCTTCCGCCAGGTATTTACTAACAAGTTTTCGTCTGGACAACTCGTCCGGTAGCGGCACCAAAATCCTCTTCTCGAAGCGCCGCAACAGGGCGGGATCCAAGTTCCACGGCGAATTGGTGCTGCCCAGCACGAAGACGTCGCGGCGCGACTCCAGCACGCCGTCGATTTGCGTGAGCAGCTCGCTCTTGAACCTCCTGGAGGCCTCGTGGTGGGAGAGCTCGTCGGCGAACGCCAGCGCGTCCACCTCGTCGATGAAGACGACGGTGGGCGCGTAGCGCTCGGCTAATCGGAACAGGACGTTGATCATCTTCTCGGATTCGCCGCGCCACTTGCTGGTGAACGTGCTGCTGGTGACGTTGATGAAGGTGCCGCCCTCCGAGGCGAGCGCCTTGGCCAGAAGGGTTTTGCCGGTGCCGGGCGGGCCGAAGAGCAGCACGCCCTTCCACGGGGCGGCGTCGCGGAAGAGGTGCGGGTACGAGCGCGGATAGACGACGGCTTCTTTGAGCTTCTCGACGACGTCGCCGAGGCCGACGCAATCGGTCCACGTGGTGTCGGTGGCGCTCCGGACGAAATCCTTTTTGATCTGCGCGGCCATTTCTCTCCAATCGGGCGGATAGGAGTCGGCGTACTCTTCGAGTGCCTGCTTTTCCTCGACGGCGACCGGTCGGGGCGATTCGAATTGCGCCAGCGATTTGACGTCGATTTCGAATTTTTCGGTACTCGGCGCGTCGGTTTTGATCGGTAGCGGTTTCGTTTCGGCGGGTTTCTTGCGCGGTTTCGCCCCGCCGCCCGTCGGCGCGTCTTCTATTTTCTTCACGATTTTAGGGTACTTTTGGAACCGCGCGAAATAGTAGCTTTGGTACTCTTGCAACACGATGTCCAAATCGACGTTTTCGCATACCTGGTAGTCGGCGACGAGTTGGGCTTCGTCGCGCAGCGCGTCCGCCGCTTCGAAGTACTTTTGCTCCACCAGGTAGCTTTGGATCAGATACAAGAGGTTCCTCTTGCGTTCGCGCGCCTCGCTTTTCCTGTCGAACGCGTTCAGCGGCGACTGCGAGGCCGCTTTCGCTTTGCTTAGGGCCTTCTTGGCGAAGAGTATATCCGACGCGGACATCGTTTTAATTCGCGAAAACGAAACGCCAGCGTCAGTTATGTTGAGGTTAAACGCCGTCGTCAAGCGGCTTGTTATGATCGATAATGCGTTAATTGCTTTGATACGGCTACGATGCTTGTATACAGTAGCGTAGAATATTGTTTTTAGTTTAAGGGTAGCATCGTTATTGTATTAAAAGATTGTTTTTAAGTAACATTGTAGTTGAAAGGGTACAAACATTCACGAGACATACCTCACAACCAAACGATTCTTACGAATTCATCCAAGAGGATCAATTTTCTTTCAGGTGCTGCACAAAATCACGTTGGGCAAGGCGTCGGCGGAGCACCCGGGCGGGCTGTCGCAGCCGAGCATCGACGAGGACTTCGATCCGAACATCCTCTTCGACGATCTGGAGCTGTCGGCGAACATGTCGTCGTCGTCGAAGAGCAACCAATGCCAGGAGGCGATCAAGCTGTGCGCCCGCACGATCCTCACCCATCTGGTCACCTACTTGGGGCACTTTCCCATGGCCATCGGCGCCACCAGGTTGAGTTCGCTCGTCTCCGAGCACGACGACGTGCCCCATCTCACCTCCGACGATCTATCTTCGAGCATTTTCTCCGCTTCGAACATACAAGTAGGTCGTTTGTGCCTAATACTTTTGGGCAACCGTTTATTTGTCGTTCCGTTACAGTTGTTTATATTGTCTAAAAACATCATCGCTAGTCTCGTGGAGTTGCCGGCGTTGAAATTGCCCGGCGGAGGAGTGACTGCCGGTTTATCGGCGGCCGATAAACAGGTGCGGGTGATCTTGAGAGACTTGTCGGGGAAGTCCAGTTGGGACGCTTCGGTGCTATACGGGAACCCGGAGATGCTAGTACCCCAACCGGAAATACACGATAGAAAGACGCGAGACGATAATACCCAGAACCCCGTTCAACCGGAAAGCCTAATGGTGACGCCTAATTCGTGTACACTACCACAGAGGGCGTTCAGGCACAGGCCGCCCGGTGTGTTACCGGACGTTTCTAACGCAGCGCCCGATTTGGATCAATTGGACGACGTATGTTATAGGTGAATTTCGAGTTTGGTTTTGGGACATTTTCGTGTTTTTAGTTGCTGCAATATTTGGGTCACACCAGCCCCGAATGCCTGGAGAACGTGAATCAGAAATTGAACGAACCGGCCGCCCCGCCGATGTCTGACGATCTGGAGAACGAAGCGATCGCTTCGGTTATCAGCCAGAGGAGCGTGGAGTTCGAAGAAAGTAGACGTTGGCAGCAATTCGAGCCGGTGTTGAGGCAAACGGTCGAGAAGCCGAGCAGTCGATTGGACGAGAATTGGCCTTCGTACGGAAACGCTTCCGTCCAACAAAGTACGTATTAGTAATTAATGTTTTTTTTTTATAGTGAAATTGTGAATTTTAGATATGACCGGAGCTTCGGAACAAAACGCATTCCAACATTGCCGTTTGTTCTTTTCGCAAATGGGACTGGCCGGATGGGAGCGCAGGCAACAATTGCACTTACTCGACAAAACCGAACGGTTACTGAGAGAACTGAGGAATCTGGATAACCAGAGTTGCCGGGAAACGCACAAGGTAACCCGATAAACGCAGATGGACTGTTTATACTAAACGAAATTTTTTTAGTTCGCCGTCATCTACGTGGCGCCCGGGCAAGAGGACAAGAATTCGGTGTTGTCGAACCGAGGGGGCAGCGTCGCCTACGAGGAGTTCCTGGCGGCGCTGGCGTGGGAGATCGAACTGGAGGGGCACACGGGATTCTTGGGGGGCTTGCAGAGGCAGGGCTCGACCGGGCTGACGGCCCCTTACGTGGCGACCAGTTTCCTCGAGGCGATCTTCCACGTGGCCACCAGGATGCCCGGCGACACGCCGGAGGCCGTACTTAATAAGGTACTTTCGCGTTATCGAGTTTTACGACGATTAAACTATCGTGATTCACGTTGCAGATAAGACATTTAGGAAATGATGAGGTTCACATCGTGTGGTCGGAGCACTACAGGGACTACAGGCGTGACATCATTCCCACCGAGTTCTGTGATATTTTAATAACTATTTATCCGTTGGGAGGAAATTTGAATAGAGTAACGATTAATTTAAAAGCGGACGTAAGTTCAATATGTATACAGTTGTAGATTATTCTTTTTAAATCGATTATTCGTAGGTTCCGCAATTTGGAGTATTATTTAACGAAGCCATTGTCGAAACATCTGTATTAGCCGGTTTAGTGAGAGCTACAGCCTTATGCGCCAGTCGCGCCAAGAGAATGACCTACCAATTCTACCAGCAGTAGTAAGACCATTTAAATTATATAATATTTTAGCTGGTTCGAAACGCTAACCTTGGAAAGGTGGCTGATGTCCTATCAGTTAGCAGGCAACTTGTAGGCATTTCAAACCAGCCGAGTTTCGAATAGTATATTGATGATTAATTGGCATTAATCTTGCTTCAGTTACGAAGAAAGGGCGCGCTCGTTGGACACGGTGGTGACGAAGCACAAGAAACACACGACCTACGAGGAATTCATATCGAAAGTGTACGCTCCGGTGTTGGCCGCGTGTCCGCTCTATCCGGGCGGCGGAATCGCGTCGGCGGGCAGCGCGGACGGTTCCTCGAATTCCTCTCTAGCCGCCGTTTTGCTGGATTCGCACGGCGGTCACGTTCCCAAAGGGCTGCAGAGGCCCGATCAGAAATTTAGAGGTTTGCATTGAACACTTTACGGTGTGTTACTACCAACGGCGTAAAAGGCCGCAGGATGTTTTCGTCGTGTTAATCTAAAATTGTGCTCTTGTTGTAGCTTCGGTGAACGAATCGACTAGGTCGGGTTGGTTTCAGAGCGGCGATAATCAAATCGAATCGAGCATATCACCGAGGCCGATGAAGAGGATTTCGACGAATCTGCGGCCGTCGAAGAAGTACGTGAAACGGGAGGCTTCCGTCGAATCGCCGCCGGATAGTCCGTTGCAAATTACGAAGCGTAAGTAATTGGGTTGCGATTACATCGGTTGTACCTATACATAGCTTTTATGTACGGATATAGTGGTATTTTCAGGATTTTTAGTTGTACATTTGATACAGGGTGTTTTGAGTAAATTGTTTTTCGGTGGTCCTGAAAGTATTTGGTAATAATTGGCGTTTAGTGAGATTTGGAATTTACTTAATTCGAAACTGTAAACTTGGGTTTACTGTGTATTTAATTTTTTTATTAATACCTTGTTAAATTTATATGCCACTTAACATATCTAAAGTAAGTTTAAATATAAACGAAATCTCTATTTTCTTACGTAAATGTTTATTCAAAAATTTTCTTTTCGATTTGTTATTAAAATGTAAAGGTCGAATAAAGTTTCATTTTATAGTAAGAAGCAAATTTAAAGAAAATTAAAATTCCTCGAATAAATAAGCATCAAGTATTTTTTTGGAAGAGGAAGTAAAGTAAATTTACTCTATTGCAATAGTAATAAATTTTCTTTAAAAATTTCTAATCCACCCTGGTACATATAACTCTTCCAATTTGTAACATTCTAACATTTATTAATTTTTTGTATCTTATATTTAACTTAGTTAAGTTGCAAACAAAACCGAGTTTTGCTGTAGAATATACGTATGTATTTGTAAGAAAACACAATTTGCATTTAATGTATTTTATATCTTGTACATGAAGGAATTAAACGCAAATGTAGCAAATTATATTTTCTGAGCTGGGATTTTAATTCGATTAAAATTTCAAGTTGAAAACGAAAAAGTAACTCCAGTATTAACAGTCCTTGTATTTATTTTATATTATTTTTAGTTTAATTATTTTGATTAATTTATTATTTTTAGTTGTTTGTATAGTGCATATAATATAACAGAGTATGAAAAGCCTTGTAAAAAATTGGTACTTTCTTGCAATGATTTTCAGAATAAAAAATTTTATTGAATAGACTTTCAAATACAAAGATTAAATAATCAACAAAATATAACTATGTACAAAAATATCAGTATATTATTTCGTTATATTTATATAGTTAAATACGTTAGAAATTTAAAAAGTAGGTACTTACGTAAGCTACATAGATGTTAAAAAATCCATTTACGAATACGCCCTAAAGCTTGGAATATTAAGAAGACGGTACGGTAGTTTAAAGGTACATTATTTAAAAATATTTAGTATACCTGCAGAACGTTTAACGAGTAGGTACGACATGTAATTTTACATTTATCAGGATCAGTACTTTCTTTAATCATTCGATATTTTTTATATTTAATCTACATGTCTCGTATTAACTACAATAATATGGGACACGAAAATGGTAAGAGCTTCAAAATCGATATAAAATCGCATGATAATAATAGGTTTTATGTAAATTGGAAAATATTATTTTACTTAGCCCTAATAAAAGTACCCCTTGATTTTTATAATAAAAGGAAAACCATTCGATCATTTGTTTTGTATGGATGTATATAACGAATAATATAATATATGTAATTAATAGGTTTATACCAGCAAAAAAGCTATTTTTAGGTCGTTTGAATCTCGAACGGTTTCAGTAAGGACTTTGTACCACATCACTTTCATATTAAACAACTAGTAAAGAACCAAATTCATATCGTTTCGTAACGTTTACAAATCGCGGAACATTGGAAGTCGAATTCACGAAATTTTCTATACCATTCCATTACCTCAACATTATACTTTCTTCGCTCCCAATTTCATAGGACCACCCGCTGTGGTCGCCGTCCTGCTAGCCCTTCTGGCCTCCAATTCCTTCTGTCTCATCAACTTCCTCTCCTCCCGCTTCTTCCTGGCCTCTTCCAATTTGCCATTCGTCGAACCCGGGTTCTCTTCGAGCGGCTCGAACTCGTTATCGTCCCAGTTGTGACCGGCCTGATTGCGCCTGTGATTCGCCTGCGACTGTTCGCCCCACGAGCTGTTCGCCTTCTGATCGGGCAGGATCGGCGCCGTATCGCCCGAAGGACTCCACGCCTCCGAAGGGGACGTCAGGTCGACATCTTGTTCCTGCAAGATTCATAATTTGCCAATAATTAATAGGTCATAGTAGGCGATTGTTTGCAGTTCAAATTTTTTCACGACTGTGACAGGTGGCGTTAGTGACAGTTGTCTAGTTTTGTTAAGTCGTATATTTTATACATTTTTAATTGGTATTAGAATATTTAGTTTTCCAGACTCCAAATTAATGCAAATTGTAATGAATATTTTAAGTAAATATTGTAAAATAACTTCATAGACAGAAATAGGTGCTGGATACCTATACTGACGTAGACCGACAAATGACATTAAAAAATGTCAAATGAAGAAAGATTTGCGTCAAAATTTGTCTTGTTCTCTATAATAAACTAAGCAGGCGGTGAGTAGGAATTCAAAATGGATGACTTTGAACTAAAGTAGCGCATATAGAATTAAATAATACCGGTTCTTCGTCTAAACTGCCCCATTCCTCGTTCTCCCAGCCGTCGGTTACTTTGGTGGCGGGTCCGGATCCGGATGGGGGACTGGTGGGGTCGCTGCTTCCGGCGCATCCGCTGCCGCTGCTGCTCGCCATTTGCCCGCCGGTCTGAAAAACGATTCAAAATGAATTCCGCCAAAATCGCGGAGTTTGTGCACCGACCTCGATGTCTCCCCAATTCTCGTTATCGTCCCAATGATTGTAGTCGTAGTCCGAGACGGATTCGTTGCCTCTGCTGGCGTCTTCGTGCTCGAGCGACGTCATCGAAGTGACGCTGGACGTCGTCGTCGAGATGCTGCTGCTCGATGGTTGCTCTAGAAACGAAAATGTCCCAATGTATCTGTTCGAAAACGGTTAGTAGTTGTCGTTGTACCTAACGATCCCGGTTTACTGAGCATTTTCGATCCCGCGGGGTTGATGGATTTCACCGTGTCAGATTGGCTGCGGTAGAATTTAGCCGTGACCGCTGTTACGGCCCAACCCGCCCAAGTGGCCGCGGCGTTGCTCAAACTGGGCGTAGCCGTGTTCACATCGGCCTCTAAAATATACAATTTAGTAATAAAAATAAACCGATCGCTAGTTCACGACGTACCCATGCTCTCCCTCAAGCTAGGATCTTCGGAGACCTTCTCCAATTTTCCTAGGAAACCCTTGATGGTTCGGAAGGCCGAATCTCTAACAACTTTTTCCGGATCCATCGTCAACTGGCACAGCGCCGGCAGTATCCGAGAGGATACTTCGGATAGTAGGTAGTATTGTTGAGTTGCAGCTAAAGCCAATACACCTAAAAATATCAATTGAATACTCTCGTTTCGGATTGTATTACGAGTAATTTTACCTGCGTTCCTGGCCGGCGGAAACGGATCCCTCATGGCTCTTATAAAAGCCGAAATCAAAACTTTCTGTCTAATTTGAGGGTGCAGATGTTGAGCTATTTTACCCAGGCACACTGTAGTATTCGTTCTAATGCCGCCTTGATCGTCTTTCGCTTGTAATCTGGCGAAGTGCCTGAGCACTTCCACGTTTAGATTATTGTAACTTAACTTAGGTGCTAGGTGTATCACAGACTGGAAACGAACGCCTAGTGAAAACTTCAAACTAGCGATTATTATTACTTACTTTAACAGTCTGTTCTCTAATGGTGGGATTGGTATCCATAAATCCGTGAGCAACTTGCGGAAATATTTGATCGTTGACTGTACTCGATTGTAAATGGCCTATGAAATGTTCCAGCTGTTGCAACAGTCTCGATCTAGTCGCTCGATCGTTGCTGCCGAACAATTTAACCACGCACGGAACGATTTTCTTTTGATACTCCGTCTCGTCCAACAGTCTTCCGAGCTTTTTACAAATAAATTTAAACGTATTGATAACATATTGGTCGATTTAAAATACGTTTTACCTTAAACATGGGAGCCAATACGGCGGATCCGGCGTCACCGTATTCGAATGCAGTTATCAGTTGAGGCAATATTTTGTGTTTGCAAACGTTATCCGGAAAATTGTCCAAATGCGGCGTTAGGTTGGAGAAGAACCGGTTTTTCTCGTTTTTATCCTTGATCTGGATTTCTTCTAAAAATAGCAACGTGTCGACCAGGTCGCTTTTGAAGTAGCCCCCTAACTTCCTACATCTCGTAATGATATCGGCTGGATTAGGCCTCGACGAGGGGTTCTTGTTAAGCAGCTCGAAATACAACGGACCCAATTGCTTTGGTATCTAAAAATTTATTATATATTATTTATAGTAGCAAAGTATTTTAGTAAAAAAACTTGTGCACAAAATGGATATCCTGTAATGTTTGGTTGAATAATGACTCGATTGATTTTCTAAACTAAATACACGGTCTGATCAAAAACTTACTTTGTCAGGATTCCTTAACAAAGATTGCTGATAAAGCGGACCGTTGAATACTTCCCAAATTAAACAACCTAAACCCCACATATCGCTCGAACTGAAAAGCTTTCGATTTAGTTTGGTGCGCTTAATTTATATTGTAAAATAAAATACCATTTTGTCATTGACTTCTGTTTGATTGGTTCATTCTTTTCGGGTGGACTGTAAACGTCCAACGTTGAAATAACTCGATATGGTAGATTCGAGTCGGTTGTAGACGATACATATTCCACTCCGCCTAATTTCCATTCTCCAGACGAATTCACAAAAACAGACCATATATTAACGTTATTGTGGCGTAAGTTGCCATCGTTATTTAGGAAAGATAGAGCTCTCTGTAAAGCGAAAATTACACCAATTTACCTACTTCATAAATCTTTATACTTACAGTAATCTGGAATAAACCCCAAGCGATGTACAAGTCGCTTTGCGGGGTCTCTAACGGTAGCTTCTCAAGGTGCTCTTTCAACGGCTCTACTTGCTCAGTGGCTAAATACAAAACCTTTTCCGATTCCAAGCTATCTATGTAAGTTAATACGCTGGGGTGTCTCAATGTTTTCAATCTCTTTACGGCCGCTTTAACCACGTCCAATTGCGATTCCGGGTTACTTTTCAGATCGAATACAAATATAGAGACGTCCTCGTTGGTTCCCTGCAACACAATTATTATCATTATTACGCTCGTAAGAGTATTATAAAGCAATTTAATAAATAACACGTCAATACCTTCTTTTTTCCTTTATGCAGATTCCACACGCTTTTATCTTCTAAACTTGGCACTAATTCTCCTATTTCGAAATTAAAATCTTTCGACGGATCGCGCGAGAAAAACGACCACATATTCTGTTTGTTTTGCTTTTACCATAAAGTTTGTCAAAAAAAACCAGAAATATTTTCACGTAAATAATTAAATTTCTAACCTAGAATTGAAACGTCAATTTTTATGTTCGCAATATTTACAGCGTTGCCATCGCAACAACGTTGCCACGTTGTGGCACTGTAAACGGCACTGCGGTAAGTTCTTATTTGAGAAGGATGCCTATCTGTATACAACAAAACAAACTTATGTTCCATGTCAAATCTCGTAGTCTCTCTGTCTCTCAAAATGAATGATCATAATAAAAATTAATTAATCATAATTACGGTAATATGTCAAGTCATGCATAATCTTAAATTTGATAATAATTTTTTTTAGTATACGCTTCGTGTGCGGTAATGGGATTTTACAACGTAATTCATTATCTCGAGTAAACAAAGTGTATATAAAAGCTAGTGACAATCGGTGACAGTTAGTCCGGAGTGTTTTGTGAATGTGATTAAATTTGAAATTTTTTATAGGTTAGAAATTAGAAATTTGTTAGGTGTGAGAAAAATTTTGGAAACCGCAAGACAATGGATAAATTCAAATCGTTAGAGGGCCTCGATAAATTTCTCATAAGCACAGGAAATATACTATCAATAAGTGACATAACGAAAAAGTCCAATGTAAACACATCAGAAGAGGTATGTGTGCAAACTATTCGTTAATTACACTAAATACATTTGCACGATTTTCCAGCTAGTGGATGCCATCGAGTTTACGCTAAGAGAATTCCAAAGCAACGGGATACTGGAAAACCAATCGGACAACATATTGGTAATAAGCAGGCACAATGACAACCTGAAAATCGATGAACACGAACTCTCCGAGTTAAAGATCGGATTCAAGGTATTCCTAAACGAAGACGATCCGGATTCGCTCATGGAAGCAATCCAAAAAGGTAGTTAGTTTCAATTTTGTTAAAACAATTCGCAAATATTTGATTAATCGTTGTTTTGTTATTGAATCATCGTGTCTATTATATGCACTTATCCAATAGCGTGACATTCGGCTAGTTATCAAATTCTACTATCCTATTACTATTTATTATCATTTATGCCTTCTCATGCTGAAATATAAGTAATCTAATTTCTAAAAAAATTATTAACATTTTCATTTCCTTGTACTAATAAATTAAATTAACGATAAATATTTGCTAAGTAATCAAGAAACAATTTTCTGTACTTTTTTTTCCAATCCAAGGTCGTTGTTTTCGACTGTACTTATTGATTGTTCATTAACAAAACAGGTATTCGATGCTCCACTCACTGATTATCAGTATATCAGTAAATAAAACCTTGGTGATGGGACGGCTCAAGGTTATTTCATCATTACTAAAAATGAATAAATGATGTATATTTTTTTTATTTTCTTCAGCTCTGATGGTGCTGAAAGTGGACTCGATCCATGACGTTATCGTGACGTTCAAGCACAACACAACCGGCAAACAGAACATCGATTTGAGCCACGTGCAAAACACTTGGGTGGTGCTGGAGAACTTAATAAAAAAAGGCCAGATTCGGCAAATCGGCATAGCCGATATCGAGGAATCCACATTCAGGGCCCTCCACGGTTGGGCCAAAGTCAAGCCGAGCATTATTCAAATCAATTTGTCCACGTGCTGCGTCGTGCCGCCTACTTTGCAATCGTTTTGCAAGGAGAACGATATTAAATTGTTAACTCACAGCGATCCTAATGGTAATAGAATTTGTAAATTTGGCAAAAACGATAGGAATGTAATATGCTGTTTTTTAGATATACTTCCCGCTGGATCTATAGAGAGTATATTCGGCGCGCCGTTGAATTTAAAATGGGCCTTACGGTTTCTAGTGCACGTGAAATGTCGAGGAGTTTTGACTACCAAGGGATATCTATTAAATCTATGTAAGAACGAGGAGAGCGTTTAATCGCCTTTTATATTCCTCCAAATGTTCGTTTTTCACGTAATGCAAAAGTGTATAGTTAAGGTGATGTTTCTACTTAATTACACGCTTTTTATTAGAAAATTTTTATCAGCAGTTTATTGTTACATTTAAAGTAGCTCGATTTTATTGGGATTATCAAATGTAAGTCTATTTAACGAGACATTCGATTACAACAATTTCTATAGCAATAGGTACTTAATAATGTAGGTTTGATATTCCCAGTGGACAATGCTTTTATCTTATATTTTTCTATATTACTCGATTTATTCAAATTATTTGTAAATAAAATATTTCACATTATTTTACGAATCTACATCGATCATCACTTCCTTGGGCGTGGGGAAGTACAAGTTAGAGGCCACGTGCTCTTTGAAGTACTCGTGCCCGATGTCTTCGTACAGCTTTTTAGTTAACAGATATTTCTCGAAATCGTCTCGTTTGGCAAATTCCCTCGCCCCGTACCAAGCGGTTAGAGCGCTGTTTTCCATCACGCTCACTCTCACGTCCGATTGAAAAGGCCTTATGGAAATCAAGTCTTTCAAAACTCGTTCCCTTAGACCCGGAAGATTCGCCAGGCCGCCCGTGATGATGACGTTTTCGGCCAGCTTCAGCTGCTCCTCGGGCTTGCACAACGATAAAACGTATCCTACGAAATTAATTATAATTGTATACATAATGAATTTTAGAATTGTAAAGCTATTACTCACCGATTATTTCGGAAAGGCCGGCTTCCGGCGATCCGGACATGTACGGTTTGAATATGAGCTCGGGGGCTCTGTATCGTTCGATACCGATGTGTAGTTGGTGCATTTCGACCAAATTCGCGCCTTCTTCGAATTGCGACGGTTCGTGGGTCCTTAGGATCTCTTCGAATTCTAATAGCTTTTCGTTTTCAGCGTCGCTATCGGAATCGCCACCTAAAACGAATGTATTATCAAATTCGAGGAATATTTATGAGTTGTGCTCGTTTTACCATCCTTGCTGATTGTTTTGTAAATGTCCCAATCTTCGTCTCGAAGCCCGAAATCGTCGTTTCCTTTTTCTTTTCGCGCTAATTGGGAAATGATTCGCATTCTCTCCTGTCCGGCTGCTGTCCTTCGCTTGAATATGTCCTGTTTTCTTTGTTTCCTGACTAGCTTTCTGGTTATAATTTCTTGTCTCTACAACAAATAAGATTAACTTGCTACAATCGACGTTTTATTTTGCATACCATTTTCTTCACGTTATCCAAAAACGAATGCAAAGCCGTATCGTTCTCGAACACCATTTTGGAATATTTGGCCTGCTTCACGGGCGGCTCTTCGGCCTCTTCGATGTTACTGGCAGCCAGGATTTTCTGCTTGGTCTTCTCTATTCGCAGATTGAGATTCGTGAGCGCCTTTTGCAGGTCCTGCACGCTCTTCAACTCGAACTCGCCGAGTATGTGCTCGATTTCCTCCTTTTCCCCGCCGAATTCGACGAGATCCTGCACCTCCAGCAGCTGCCTCAGCTTCTCCTGGTCTTCGGCCAGCCTTTCTTCGCGCTTCCTCGCGTTGATTTCGGTCAGACGCCTCGCCAATTCGCGTTTGCGTTCTTTCTGTTGTTCCACTTGAATCAGTTTGTTATTAACTAAAATAATTATTAGAAAAGAAGTTTGACTTACGTGTAAGAGCGTTAGTTCCGGCGCTATAAGGTAATTGAATTTTTTTAATGTTCCCCTCGTAGTAGTCGGTGTTGGTCCATTTCATCAACTCTTCCTTGTAATCGACAGCGATCGCGCAAATTGTATGGAGGAGTTCTTCTGCTCTGCTTAGAGTTATCGAAGCAGTGTGTGCTGGATATTTGAGTTGTAATATTCTGTGTAGGAATGTTATGACACTCCATCCGCCTAATAATTGGAATTTATTGTAATATTCGATGGTCGATAATGTTTTTAAAACGTACCGATGTTTAATCTTCTGGTGTTTTCGAATAGCGTCTTGTTGTTTATTACAGGGATTACGTGGCACGTTTGGTAGCCCAAGTTGATGATTAAAGCGTTTTCTAAGGGTTTCGGTCGAGCGAAATGATGCGAAAATAAGGCATCCACCCCGTACGCTACACCGGGTACTCCATAGCACTCAAACAGTAGCTCAGACATTACTAAAACATCACAATCAATACTCCTAATTTACGTAAAATAAAACACATACATTGTCTAGAAGTATTTGGATTTAACAATGCTTCTGTTAACACCAACGGGTGGTTAACGGAGTTTTCAGTATCGATGCCCAAATGGGTGAACATGTAATCGAACAGATGTTCCTGGGCTTCGAAATGCGTCACTACGTTTCTGTCGAATTGCGTTTTTAACTGGAACCTCATCGTTTCTATGTTGACGATGTCGTTGCCTATTTGCAATTGGGGAACTTGTACGATTTCCACGTTGTCTTTCTTCAATCGCTCTTTACGAGGCTTCGCTATGAGGTTTTTGAATTGGAGTAAAGGCGTCTCGTTAACTGACCATCCTACTCTTGATAAATAAGATCCTACGAAGGAAAATACTGAAATGTACTAGGAAAACTATAAATAAGAATTTATTACCGTTGTCTACTACGAGAGGTGTTGAGTTGTTTTTTATTGATGACGGGTAAGTGTGTATTATATCAGGAGTGGATTTTACGTCTTTAAATTCCATTATATCCATTTTTAAAGAGAAAATTTAATTTATGTTTATTTATTTGAGACTAAAGAACCATAACCTTAAACAACATTTCGATATGTCAAGTGTCAAAAATTCTTCTTTTTTATATAACCTAACAAAATTACCAATTCGGCCACCTCTTACAACCACCAGGATGTAAGATGGTCCTAGGAACCATCTAGGAAAACACATAGTAAAAGTGTAGCTCTACTTTAGAATTTATTCTAATATAAAATAATGTATAAAAAATTAACTAATCCAAGAACTATCTAAGTGTATATTTTTGTGCTGGTTTAAAAGATCCACATTAAGGAACTTTTCTTGGCACAGCTCGCAACTAAAACTCTCATCCGCATTGGCATTTTGATGTTGCAGAAGATGCTGTTTCAATGTATAATTCTTCTTGCAACTGTAGGAACATACGTTACATTTGAACATTTTTTTACCTTAAAAACAATAAAAGTGAGAAATTGCTTTGTAAGAAATCACTGCAATTACCTTCGTGAACATTGAGATGGCCTTTAAGAGTGCTGGATTGCTTAAAGGCCTTTCCGCATATGTGACACTTAAAAGGCCTGTGGTAAGTGTGGATTTTCGTGTGCTCCACCAAATGGCTCCTTTGTATGAAACATTTATCGCAGAAAGAACAAGCGTACGGTTTTTCACCTAAAATAAACAACAAACATCAAAATATGACCTAGAGAATGACTCTAGAAGATACCTGTATGCACTCTCATGTGGTTCCTCAGCTCGGAAGGTCTACAAAACCTTTTCGGACATAAAAGGCATTGCTCGGGTCTACCTGTGTGTATTTTCAAATGTGTATTCAATACACCGTGTTGCTTGAAAGTCTACAAATACAAACAGTTATACAGTGCAATTTAGGTTGATTAAATGCTTACTTTTCCGCAGAATTTGCAAGCGAATGGTTTTTCGCCAGTGTGAGTCCTCTCATGGTCTACCAGGCGCGTTCGTGTGGCAACGCACATGTCGCAGTAGCTGCATTTGTAAGGGGTCTCCTTCGTGTGAGTCCTTATGTGAACGTCCAAATTGGACTGTTGCTTGAATAATTTGCCGCAGTAGTGGCAGAGGGCTTTGGGTTCTTCGTTTGTATTATCAGAGCTGTGGTGTTTTTGAACGTGATTCGATAGATTTCTGACCGTTCTTTTGCATATATCGCAGTACCTGTTTTGCCTGTTGTTACTAGAAATTGTTGCATTAGAGTGTAATTAGATAGTAAAGGTAATACTACCTTTTTTTGTGTGTGTTGTTTTCTTCGTTGTCTTCTTCATCTAAACTTAAGAGAGCTTTATTTTCTTCACTAAATTGATTGTCGCATGCATCAGAATCGGTGGTTTTGTGGATTTCGAGATGCTTCTCCAACAGCTTTTTATCGAAAAATGTGTCTAAACAGACGTTACACGTTTCGATTAATTTTTTATGGACTTTTTTACAATGAGCTTTTAGTAGTTTTGTTGTTTTCAGGTGCTTTTTGCATATCTTGCATACATGCCTTTGTTTAACTACAAATATAAAAAAAACATTAAATAAAAATCTAACGAATAAATAAAATAAGTTACTGGTGTGTCTAGAAAGGTGTTCGACAAAGTGGCTTCCAGTCGTGCTTTGTTTGTTACAAAAAGGACATTTAAAATCATCTTTGTGAATTTCCGTGTGCTCTTTTAAGTTCTCTTCGATTTTATTGCATTTCCAACACCATTTGTCCTTAACAGACCTTAAAAAATACTTAAAATAAACGCAAATACCGACAAGTAGTTTAACTATATGTTTACCAGTGAAGTCTTGACATGTGTACTGAAAGAGTTCTAACATTACTCGAGGTAAATCCGCAAAATAAACATTGTCTAGACGTGTAAAATTTCTTTTTAACTTCGTTAATAATGTTTTTAACTTCTTCCGTATTGCAAACGAATACTCTTTTCGTAGACTTGGAGTTTGTGGTTGAATTTACGTTGTCTTCATCATCGTCATCTGTTTCATGTAAACCATTATCATCATTATCATATTCATTGCAGTCTTCTTCAATTGAATCAAATTTGCTTTCTGATTTCTCATATGTTAATGGGACATCTTCACTTTCCTTTTTAACATCATCACAATTGATCAAGTCAACATAAAATGGCTTTACATCCACGTTTATGTTCGTTTCATTTGAATATTCTAAAATAGTTTGATGTGATTTTATGCACATTTGTTGGAATTCATAAAAAGTAATCAGTTTATCTTCGCATGTGGAACAAATGTATTGCGGTTGCGAGTTATCCAAATTTAGATTAATCTACAAAGAATAGGATGTTTTACAGTATTTTTATTGTTTAAAATAAGTGTGCCTTTACCTCCGAATGTATAATTGATGATAATTTGTTCATTAATTGTGTACCTGCACCCTTGGGATCTAAAAGGGGACGCATATCATTCGATAGCATTAAACAAACCCTGCACAGTTCTTTGAGCTCTTTAATATCTGGATTCATTTTCATATGCTAGACTAGCCCAACATTTCACTCCAAGTATTGTTAAATATCAGGAAAATATTTAATAATAATTGTAAATGAAACAAAACAATGTCCCAATCCCAAATACTTTTGACGTTTTATAATCATAAAAAAGAAGAAAATAACTTTTTATTTATGTAGTGCGAGGCCAAACATACGACAGTTGGAATGATATGACATATTTTAGGAAATGCCTATTTTACCATCCTAACGGAAAATAAGATTTTTTTATTTAGGTCACTACTTATTATTTTCTAATTGGACAATTTTTGATAACAATTATCATTACAGTTAAACTGTCCCTACAATTAAACGTATTAACAAAAAGGTTTTAAAGAATGTTATGAATTATTTGACCGCATCATTTGGATATCGGTTTAGTAGACACTTCTTATTGTTAAACAACTTAAAAATGTAATATCTCAAATTACTAAAATTATCAATGAAATTAGAAAATGTTAGTTTTAAATTTGCAAAAAAATAATTGGTGTAAATTTTGTTGTAGTTTTGTACGTATAAAAAAAGTACTCACTTTGCTTTGACTAGTGCAGTACGAATATGACATTTATCGAGGTTAGGTAGTACACAGTGCTTCTCGCTGGGTTTTTATTTAAAAAAATCGGAATTTTGTAATTCAAAAAGCTCAATAACAAAATCGACACAAGAAATATTCCAGATCGGCTTACAGTTCAAATTCAATTAGATAATAGTATAATGTACGCGTTTTTCAATTTGAAGCCTAGTTAATTTCGAATTATCGCGTTATTATTCCTACATGTAGGTATTATTTACAAATTTCTTCGTTCGAAGGTAACGTTAAAGGTAACGAAATCAATCTGAATTCGACTCACCGAGGCCTCGTATTCGATTAAAAATTTCACATTGATGTTTTCTCGTCCACAGAGGTATGAATGGGACTACGATGGATCGACATGGACACGGCCAGAGTAATCCCAAGTTGCCCAGGAACTACAAATTAATAGTGGACCCGTTTTTGGTCAAAGGGGCCGCTAAACTTTACAGATACGACGGTGTCATACCGAACGATGTATCTTGTCCTCCTGTCGTTCCCCGAGATCCCAGGTCTCATTTGACCAGAATATGGACCAGATTGGAAACCCTCGACCTACCAGTACCTAGGTAAAGCTTTCGACTCGAAGCTGCTTGTAAAAATATGAATTTCTTTGCGTTAATATGAGATATGTTTCACTTCTATTGCATACGACTTTAATGTGAAATTTTGTGATTGTTTATGTTATAAGAATGGTATGCAAAGTGTGTATTGTAGTCTTATACTGTTTTATTTGTGGTTTTAACACAAGCAGGTAACGTTTAATCGATTGATTGTGGGAGATTTTGGATTTTCAGTTTGGTTTTATTTACAATAATGTGAGGTTATGTTATATTCAACATTTGTTATCTTTTTCAACTTCGGTAAACAAATCGAAAATATCCGCTACCTATTTCATTTATCAAACAAACATCTTTATTATTTGGAATAATTACAAGCAATTTATGATTATTCATTTATTAATTAACAATTTTTTTTTTGTATACAAATTTTACATCTATTTTAATTAAATGAGTTTTACATCCCAATTACATTTAATAGCTGTTAATAACAACAATATTAATATCAATTTTCTTTCAATTTATTCATTTTGCAACATTAGAATGAAACCTAACCAAACTTTTTTGTTTTGTAGATTTCGAATCGATGTGAACTATGTGGGCGAACCGCCATCTATCGAAGTAACGATATTCCAGCTGAACGATAACATCGACAAATTATTCCTGAGAGATATGCTACAGAAGTTCGGTCAAATCGAGGAACTCTCCATTTACTATCATCCCGTCACCAACAGACATTTAGGCATCGGTAGGGCCATATTCGAAACCGTCGCCAGCGCCAAGGCTTGCGTGGAAAAACTGAACAAAACTAGCGTGATGGGGAAGATTTTGGAGGTGTTTTTGGATCCATTCGGCGAAAAGGTACGTTATAATTACTCTAATCGTACGTTATTTAATGTTTAATTCGTAGTGCAAGCTTAAATATGAAGAATTCACAACGGAAAAGAAACCCCCACCGCCGCCTCTTGCTATCGAAACTACCCCAAAAACCGAAGATAAAACCAAAATGGAAATAGAGAAACCGTACGATACGGGCGAAGAAGATTTCGACGAAACGGAACGTATCAAAAAAGAAAGAGAAAAGGAGTTCGAAAAGAAACTGAGAGAAAACGACAGGCACAGAGACAGGGATAGAGAACGAGACGCCAGAGAAAAAGACAACAGATACTTGAGCAGAGGATACAGAAGCAACGAATACGCCACGCCCAGCAGCGCCGACATGGGCTACGGGACTGCACCTAGCGATTTTTCAGCCAGTTACGGCTCGTCCGGCACCACTCCTTTGGGGTAAGCGCATTCCGTTTGACCCCCCAAGTACCGTATACACGATTCGAAAACTATATATCCGTAGATACGACTTCCACGGTCACAATCTACCGATTCACAACCAATACCCGTACCCCGCCGCCGCCTACCTCCCGCCGCCGCCGAACGTCTGGCCTCCGCCCCCGATGGCGGCCAGCCCGTGGACGCCCGAGAGTTGGGACCGATCGCCGGCCGGCATGGCGCCCCTGCCGCCCCCCAAATGGCCGCACGACGATAAATACGCGCACGGCAAGAGCAAAGAGAAAGATTGGAGGGACAGGGACCGCGACAAAGAGCGCGATAGAGACAAGGAGAAGGACAGGAAGAAGGACGGCGGGAGAAGGAAGGATAAGGATAAGGATAAGGAGAGAGATAAGGTACGTTTTTGGGGATTGTTAATGAGTAGTCGTGATGTATCGATTGGTTTTTTTTAGATTGAAGACGATAATAAACCTTTGGATTTGGACACGAGGATCGCTTTGTTGTTGAAAGAGAAAGGTTCGGGTGGTATGGCGCCGCCGTTTTTGAATTTCGGGGCCGATTCCGACGACGAATCGAAAGCGTCCGATAAGCTGTTGAAGAACGTACCGATACCGACGTCGTTGGATAGCGACGAAGACGATCGATCGAGCATTTCGTTGAGCGACATGCCCATTAATCCGCCGGCGCCCGATTTGGATTTCGACGTTCCCAAAGACGACGATGACGCGCCTCTATCGAATCCACCTTCGCCGTTTTTGTCCAATGAAGTCTACTTGGAATGCCACAGGCTAGCTTTGGAACGCGTACGTGTACATCTCTAATGATTATTTATTACGAATGATTGCGTATTTTTCAGGCGGTGGTGGCGAAACAGCGTGAAGCTTTGGAAACGACGGCTCTGCTGAAGAAGGTCCACATCGAAATGAACAAAATCGGCAGCGATATATCATCGAGCGAAGACGAGCTGTTGACCGGAGATAGAATTCATAATAATTACAGTCCTATCGATAGGAGCGACTTTAAAAACGAGCTTAAGATGGAAAAGGTAAAAAAAAACGTTTTGTAACGTTTCGTTTTATAGCGCCGATTATCGCCTTTAAACGCATGCATTTACCGGCAAACTGTTTTTTTTTTTAGTTTGTAGCGCATCGGATATTTTTTTTTTAATTAATTTTGTAGATTGTTCGAAACGATTCGATACGCGAAACCGAATTAATTAATACCGTTTGTTTACTCCAGTTCTATTTCTTAAAGGACGACGACCGAATGAGCCTGTCGTCGTTGAGCAGCAACGAGAAAATCGAGGAATCCAAGCCGGACATGCCGCCTCTACCGCCGCCGGGCGATTCGCCGGCGACGGCGCCGCCGCTGCCGCCCGTCCCCGGCATCTACCCGCCGGCCCAATACCCGCCGGGCATGCCGGCCTCTTATCCTAGTGAGTAATCATCTTTTCTAAGCGATCGTTTGCGTTTCTAATTCGCCATTTTCAATTCCCGTGCAGCTCTAATCGGAACCACAGGTAATGAGGGAATCTAATATTTTATTCGGTGTGCTAAATTGGTAGTAAGATCACAGTTACCCCAGTTTCATGTCCTCTTTTAACTTTAATTTGAATTGCTAATACTATTTTTTTGTATTTCAAGCGGCACTTTTGGCTCTAAGAGGTATTTTAGAACGCGCTTTACGTCGAACAAACTAAAAGGAACCCGCCTAATTAATTATATTTTGAAAATTTTAGGTTACCAAGCGGCCCACTACTCGTCGCCGTTCCCGCCTCACCAGTACCCGCCGGCCTACGGCCACCAGAATTGGCGGCACGGCTACCCGTACGGGGGCCAGCAGGTGTTCCTGCCGCACCTCTCCCAGTTCCCGGCCTATCCGCAATTGCACCCGGCCCAACGGTACGCCGACTACGGGACGCCGCCCGAGAAGCCCGAGGACGACAAGGACGATCCGCACGCCGTCACGATCAACTCGGTGGTGCAGCAGGTGACGCAGGAATTGAAGAACATCCTGAAGAGGGATTTCAACAAGAAGATGGTCGAATCGACGGCGTTCGATAAGTTCGAGGCTTGGTGAGTTCGGATCGGTTCGCGAGAGAGTTGTAATCGTTTTCGATCGTTCGTAGGTGGGAGGAGGAGAGTTCGAAGGAGAACAAGCCGAAGGGGAAGGAGGAACGGTCGAGGGACAATCGGGATAACATCAACGTGTTGCTCGAATCGCATCGGGACAATTCGTACGCTAATTTGGACGCTTCGTCGGGCGTCGGGCTCGGTTTTAGGGCGTCGTTGCCCAAAATGCCGAGTTTCAGACGGAAGAAGATCCATTCGTCTTTACCGGAAGACGAAGACGGGCGCAAAGTATCCGATAACGAAGAAATCGTTCACGATTCGGATTCGGACATCAACAGGTATTGACATAATTTCCTGTAAAAGTATCGTTCTACACGTATTGTTCGTTACAGATCGGCTTCGAGAAGGGAACGAAAGACATCGGTTAGTAGCGTGAGCAGTTCTTCGACTTCGTTTACTTCGTCTAGCGACGGGGACAGTTCGGACGAAAGCTCTTCGGACTCGGAATTGGGCGCTCCGGCTGTACAACCGGATAGGAGTTTTACGCCCGTCATGCCCGAACTACCCGCCAACGCACCGGAAGAGGAAGAAGAAGAAGAAAAACCGCAAACAGTCAACGAATCGTTGGAGTCTGTCGAGGAGAGCACTTCTCCTCTTAGGGACGGCATCGAAGCGAGAAATAAAACACCCGAACCCATGCAGGTGGTAATTATAAACTAATTAATTAGTATGGAATACTAATATGTATTTTTTTTTAGATCGATACGGATGATATAGCAGCTGTTAAAGAATATTCCAAACCGCAAAGTGTTTCTAATGCGAATTACGATAGCGATAGCGATATGAGCGATACGGAACGTTTGATACTGGAGAGAAGAAGATTAAATACCGAGTACATGGAGCAAATCGAACGGGAAAGACAAGAACGGTTGGCCTTAGAAGCTAAAGATAATCGCGATAAGAAAAGGGTAGACGTTAAAGCAGATAGCGAGATATTACAGGATAAGGTAAAAACAACTTCTCGCTTGTAAAATACATTTAAACTAATTCAATATTGTTGTATTAGGATGTAATGGATAAATCGTTGGAAGAACTAGAAGCTGAAAGGGACGCCCTTCTACAGCAAGTGCGTAATCCTGAACCGCCTGCTGGTAAGAAATCTGACGTAAAAGCTGCCTCTAAAAAATCAGAAGAAATTAAAAAGCCGATAATAAAGAGCGATTCCGACGAGGAGTCGTTAGAGTCTAGAAAAAAGAAGAAAACTAAGAGCAAACAAGACTTGAACGGTGAAGAAGCCGCGCAAAAACGAACGTCCGAAAGTTCAATGGACGGAAGCAGTCCTAATAGTCAGGTAAGATAGCGCTTAATTCATTCGATTTGCGTATTATATTTTATTTTGATAGGTCGTTATCGAACATTCTTACTGCATGCCGCGGCCGGAGAAGGAAAATATCGAAAAGACACCGCCCAAAATCGAAGACAATCTCAGCACCGTTCTCAAAGACCACGAATACTCCTCGAAAGAGGTGCACCGAATAGAAAAAGTGAAAAAGGAAAAACCGCCGAAGCCGGTGAAACCCAGAAAACCAAAGGAACACAAGAAGCTGCAGGAACTCCAAAACCAACTCAACTACAAAGACCAATACGCTTGGAGGAAGTCGTTGGAACAATACAACATTCACGGCGGCATCGTGCACAAAGTCAGAGATCAAATGTCCGAATTCGGCGTGCTCTACGAATTCCTCACCAAAGGCATCGACAAAGAGGACATCGAATACATCAAGAAATCGTACGAGGAGATGCTCTCCAACGACACGATGGGCTATTGGCTGAACGACACCCATTGGGTCGATCACTGCCTCACGGATCTCTACTCCAGTCCACCGAAGAAGCGGAAAAAGGACGAGCGCCAGCACGGCACCGGCAGCGCCCGCACCGAAGGCTACTACAAACTGTCGGCGCACGAGAAGTCCCGATACAAGTACCATCACGCCAAGGCGCACGCCATCACCATGGCCAACGCTTCGGCCACCACCGCCAAACAAGGTACCATCCTGCCATCTGAGGAGGAATGTTTCCAATGTTCTGGGCGTTCAAAGTGTTCCCGGAACTTTGACGACGTACCTCGTAGTTAACAGGGTAATATTACATGTGTACTTTTTTTTGCAGGATTGTCGAGAGAAGCGAGATCGAACCAGCGACGTTTGCTTAACGCGTTTGGCGGAGATACGGATTCGGATCTGCTCAAATTCAATCAACTCAAGTTTAGGAAGAAACAACTCAAATTCGCCAAGTCGGCCATACACGACTGGGGGCTGTTTGCCATGGAGCCCATCGCTGCGGATGAAATGGTGCGTATAATGATAAAATTTGCTTATTTTTTCATACGAAACGTTTGGAATTTCTTTGTAGGTGATTGAATACGTGGGTCAAATGGTGAGGCCTAGCGTGGCTGATGTGAGAGAACAGAAATACGAGGCCACCGGCATTGGAAGTTCATATTTGTTTAGGATAGATATTGAGAATATTATAGACGCTACGAAGTGCGGTAATTTAGCTAGGTTTATTAATCACAGTTGTAATGTAAGTATACATGCCATTTTTGAGCATACACAAATTATTTATGTATATATTTTTTCCATAGCCAAATTGTTACGCGAAAATCATAACAATAGAGTCGCGGAAGAAAATTGTGATATATTCGAAGCAGAGTATAGGAGTGAATGAAGAGATTACGTACGATTACAAGTTCCCGCTCGAAGACGAGAAGATACCGTGTTTGTGTGGAGCGCCGCAATGTAGAGGCACTTTGAACTAAAAGTAAACAATATTATATATTAAGAAACAAAAAGCGATTTTGCCGTTTGCGATATGTTTATTTGAAAAATGTACTTACGATGTTTGGATTCGACAAAATCAATCGCAGTTTTGTTAAATTTCTCTCAAAACGGAACGAAACGTGTTTGTTGCTATTATTTAAAAACGTAAAAACTTGGCGATTTTGATGAAAAAAAAAAATATGATTTTTTTTAAAGCGGTGTTGTCAGATTGACGGAAATGTCTAATTTTGGGATATTTTCATCTAGAAAGGGGCATTTGTAAACACTTAAAATTCCTGAATAGTACTACATTTTAAAAATCAATTTTCATTAGGTTGGATTTTTTTAAACAAAAACACTTTCTTTTAATAATTTTAGTGGATTTTCTCCGCTAAATATTTAGTAATTGCTTTAACAAAATGAAGGGAAAAATATTTTCCAAATGTTGCCAACACTGCGCATAGTCAAACTTTAATAAAATGTACTATATTTTTGTAAAATAATGGTGAGTTTTTTAATTGAGTAAACAATTCGGATGAACTTTTAGAATAAAGATTTAATAGTTGTAAGAGTGTATATTACATGGAAATTTAATTAAGTTCTTTTTTATTTGTACATATATTATTATACACATGTAAATAGTATTGCTGATTGTTAAAAAAATGTTTTTAAAATGAAATCTCTGAATAAGATAATATAAAAGTGTATGTATGTCGGTAGTATTCGATGCTCTTAATTCATTTTCGTGTCATTTTAATATTGAAATTCCAGTTGTTATTAAAGCTAGAACGATTTTCATTCAAATTTTATTTGATATTTTTTCTTAATCGATTCCTCTTAATTAGTTACTTCGAAATTCTGTTTCTTTTTTTTAATGATTTTCGTCAATTTAATGTAATGATACGTAATATAAAGGTTTTCTTTCCACCAAAACGAATTTGGTAAAATTTTCTTTATTTTCCATTCCTTACAAAATTATTGTGGCTGAATACCACCAGTAGTTGAGTCCTTGAGAAAGAAGGTGACTTGACATATGACATTGATGTTAAAGCACATGTATCTGTTTTTTCATAACCTAGAATTTTTAGTACAAATTGGTTAATTTACAAACAGACCGAAAATGCCTAAATCGAAGCGAGATAAGAAAAGTAAGTATGAAATTACATTAAATTTACTCAAATAGTAGTTTCACGTATTACGTTTTAGTATCTTTGACAAAAACCGATAAAAAGGGACTTGTGCTGAAACAAAAAATCGTAGAAGATGTACGAAATTGCGTGGAAAAGTACAAAAGCGTGTACGTTTTCACGTATAGAAACATGAGAAACGAAACGATGAAAGCCGTAAGGGAAGAATGGAAGCCCAGCAGGTTTTTCTTCGGAAAAAACAAAGTTATAGCTATAGGTTTAGGTAGAACGAAAGAGGAAGAAGTAGACGAAGACTTACATAAAGTAAATAACCAAATATTTCTTGTATTACCGCTAATTTTATACGAGCTTTTAATTATTCCAGCTAGCCCGCGTGTTAAAAAACCAATGTGGACTTTTATTTACTGATTGCACAAAGAAAGAAGTGGTAGATTGGTTTGAGAGTTATTCAGTAGAGGAATATGCAAGGGCGGGTTTTAAAGTAAATAGCACAATAACATTAGACGCCGGTCCGTTGAAACAGTTCTCTCACGCCATCGAACCTTATTTGAGAAGCCTCGGAATGCCCACGAAATTAGACAAAGGTACAATATTATTAACTTTACGTGAATTTATCTAATTATGAATTTTAAGGTGTTGTTACGTTGATAAAGGAATTCGAAGTGTGCAAGAAGGGTAGCGTTTTAACGCCCGAACAAGCCAAAATCCTCGAATTGTTGGAGAACAGACTGGCCAAATTTAAATTGATATTGAAAGCTAAGTGGACGAAAGGAAAAGGGTTTAAAAAATTCAAAATCACCGAAGATGAGGAAGACGAAAACGACGAGGCGGGAATGGAAGTGGAAGAAAATTAATATTTGTTTCAATATGTACATTATTTAGGTTTATAAATACATAATTTTTTCAAACAGTAGTTTTTTTATTAAAATATAATATAGAGATTGAGTAAAATGAAACAATAAGGTAAGGATTTTTCTGTTTTATTTATATTATTTATACAAATCTCAAGTAATCACACCCATTCAACTCTCGTAAATACATTTAACATTTTTTATAAACACTCTAGACATTAAATTTAAACAAATTCAACATGGAAATCAAAATTAGAAAGATTATATTTACATATTTTATTTTTGGTGACAATTATTTATTTGAATAAATTTACCTACAAGTAATTTACTAATGTACAGAATGTCCAACGAGATATCATGCTATAAATAATGAGTAATAAAGTAGATTGCTAGATAAAAAGTGAAAAATGTAAAAAAATGTTCAATCGTTGGATTAATTTGTATGTACAAGTTTTGGTTCTTATGTAAGTATAAATCACTTTTTTGCAAAATGAAATAGATAAATAATCATACAAAATGCTTCATAGAAAGTCTGTCATTTTGTAATTTCGGTGCTATACTTTTTATGAACTACCCTGTATAATATAAATTATTAGAAAATAATCGTTTCTGGTCCGAAAAGCAGTTTTCAATAATTTGCAGCTCCTTTTTACACGTTCACTATATTTTGATCATACGTTTCTAATGTTATTTACATAATTTTATTACATTCGCCAAAGGGAGATTGTTGATAGTTAAAAAATATCCGAAATATAAATAACAATATTCACATACAAATTTTTCGTCGAGGTGCGCAATTTGATATTCCTAATTTTGATTAATAACACTCATTAAAAATCGAAGTATTCGATATGTTTTATTTTGAAAAAAAAAAAAACAATTTAGTTATAATAATAAACACAAACTTTTAGTTGATGCGCTTTAAACAAATCCGATTTTCTAGTGAAAAAAAAAAGTGTTTACATTTCCGTGTTTTCCTCAGCGGCCTCTTCATTCTCGGGTTCTTCGGGCAACGTATAAACCCCCGTCTTGACCGGCCCCTCCAACACCTAAAACAAACCCAATGAAAATTCCGCAAACCCCTCGAAAAAAAAAAAAAATCGCAAACCTCCGGCATTTTCGTCTGCACCGGCACCAGCTCCACGCCCATGCAGACGGCGGAGGCGCCGCCGGCGTCGACCAGCGACGTCGGCGTCCCGGTGCTCAGCAGCGTCTCCTCCGTCAAATTGCGCCGGTAAATGTTGCTCGATTTCTGCGGAAATTGTCATGAAGCCGCGCTGAACGGGTCGCTGCTGATGTTCAAATTCAAATCGTCCGGGAAGCTGCTCGAGTTCAATTTCGGTATCGCTTTCGCTTGGTGTTTCAGTCTACAAATACAAATAATATCTAATTTATTAAGAGAGTAGGTATCTAAAAATCGTTCGTGATTCCCGAAACTCATTCCCAACGCAACTCCCGGCGAAATTGGTATTTATGGACATTCTTCGGGCCGGCGAGATAACCGGAATTCCAATATAAATCCGTCCGGACGGGCAGGAATTATTGTAGCCGGTTAATAGATCAATTTAAATTCTGTCGAAAGTTTCGGAGAGCGTTTTTCTTCGGCGACTTCTCCGAGTCGCAGCCGGGCGGTTTGTTGACCAGATTCTAATTAATCGCCGGCCCCGGAGAGGGGCCGGAATCGATACCGAATCGGACCCGCACGTGGCCGTCGCGCACACGAATCGAAAGAATGTTTATGAGGAAACTTCCGGAAAACTCGCCGGGGAAATTTTCGAAAGTAATTTCGGAGTGATTTTTACTCCACTGTGGGACAAAGCGACAAGAGGATTGCGATGAAAGCAGAAACGGGGCGATTTTTTTGCAATTATAACCTCACTTAAACGTCAAATATCAAACGTTTCTGGCCTTTTACCTATCGGTAAACGACTCACCTGTGGATAATTTCGTCGTGTACGACGTTGAAGCACATGGCCGTCAAGGCCATGCCGGACATTATGTATATCGAACAGAACCAAATGGTCGTGTTGGATTCGTAGTTCTGGAACGGATCAGAACCCGGAACCATGTCTCCGAATCCTATGGTAGTCAGGCTCATGAAGCAGAAATAGAACCCGTCGAGCAGCGCCCAGTCCTCCAGTTTGTACAACACAAAAGTACCTGTGAAACAAAACGACCAATGAAACACAAAATATATTTTGTGATATATGACCACGGTCGTATATTTCTAAGGTCTGGAAACAGCCTATGCATATATGCATTGGACAATATGTCCAGTTATTCGAAGACTTTTTGAGCTTCACTTCACAGAGGACCAACTTATCTCAGCCAATCAGCGTCGCGCTACATAAAATTAAAATCGCGGTTGTGTGATGACAGTTCGAGCTGTCAAAACTTCAAAAATTATTTTTTGACGTTTCGAGGAGAAAATGGAGAAATACGCATTAACCGAAGATACGTGAGGCATGATGTTAACAACAAAATCACCGCTGATTTAAGTATATTTTGTATATATTTTTAGTTTGAATAAAACCTTTCTTAATGCTAATTCCATATAATTCGTACGCAAAAAAACCGCGTCCTTTACAACATCGCCTCTAGCGGCCATTTTAGGAAATCTGTATTATCCTCAATAACGCGACTCTTTTTCGACCTATGTTTCCAGAATTTAGAAATATAGGGCCGTGTATACGACTTACCGATACATATGTATATAAACATGATACAAAGACACAACAAAATGGGAGCCAATATCGACCATCCGTGCATGGACGTTTTCGACTCGTTGTCTGTACCGCTGAGGCTATCCAGCTCCTTGACCGGCCCGTCCCTGCAAGGCGAGTGCAAATTGTTGCTGTAGTTCGAGTTCGATCGAACGTAGAACGGCTCTTGAAGTCCTAAATCAATTAAATCGAGACATTATCAGCAGGATGTTAGTTACATAGTTTCTCAGAGGTATCTCTCGAGGCTTCGTTTGCATGCACGCGAGAGTCGAAATCTCTTACCTAATTGTTGCTGGAGCTCCATCTGCTGCCGTTTCCGCTTCATTTTCCTCTCCTTTTCGGCCATCCGCTTCTCGTCGTAGCAGCAGTAGCCGCAATTCGAGCAGAGACAGCAGCACAAGGCCCGGGAAAACACGCCTCGGGCCACCCTGCTCAGGATTGATCCCACGCTCGACAGATAGAGCAGAGTCAACGGTATGCCCACCATGGCGTAGCCCATGGTCACCGCCTTGCCCAGCGACGTCCTCGGGGCTATACTCCCATAACCTATTTAATCACAATTATTGTCGCTGAACTTACTGGCTGCTGTATAAAAGGCCACAATATTATAAAAACGAAGAAAAAAATTCGAATTTATATGAAAATGGCTGCATGCACTTGTTAGAAATAAGGAACAATTTATGTTATTAAAAGGCATTAAAGCGAATAAAGCAAATCGTTATATGGTCCTTCGAGAGTTAAATAATCAAGCATTATCCAATCTATCAACAACTATTAAATAGGTAAGTTTATGTAACGGTCTCTGAAGCGGGAGTTTTTTTTTATAGAACAAAGGCTATTAATTCGAGAGCAACAAACTCGAACGAGTTTATCGGGCAAACTAGCACAATAGTTGTTTCTTATTTCTGATCGATATAGAGCTTTCCCGCAACGACCGCGATAAGTTCCGGGCGTTATTAACGGGGCGCTATAATTCCCGACAATAGTGAGCAAAATAGTCGGTTAATTATTATTAATAAGCGCTTAATAAATCCCGCGTTGATTGATAATTGATTCGGATCGTTCGCGCTTGTTGATGGTATATAATGGGGATATCGTTCGCGTCGAAATTAAGTCGAAAGTTCCGGGCGAATCATCCCCGCGAATAACGTTGATGAAGTAGAGTTAGGAAGTGCGATGTGCGGTAATTAGTTTCTGAATTAATTCAGTCGAATGATGATTCGAGTTTCGTCGAAAATATTCCGATTTATTGGAAGTTAATGAATTTCAATTTTGTAGCTCGAACCGATGTTTGCTCTAATCTTTTCGTATACCTCTGTGGGAGTTGTGTGTACCTATTTTGTAGCTTTTACTGGTGAATAAATAAATAAAACATTTTAATATGTCGAGCTATCCGTTGACATAAATACATCTTTTGGCCGGGTTGTTGGGGCTTCAAAAAGCAAAAAGAGAGGAGTGTACATTTTAAAGCGTTTTACGGAATAATAAAGCTTAATGTCAGAAACTTTTAATTAGAAAACTCACGAGTTTCTGCCCCGGTTTCGGTTGAATTTCTATTCATTAGGGTTAGAAAAACATTGCCTTAGAGCTATTTCTCTATTATTTATGGAGTCTCGCGGGGGGCGCGGCGGATAGTCGTGGAATTCCGCTAGCGTTTTTAAGTCGGGTTGGATTTTTTTTAAATGTTATCCGTTTTGATGTATTGTTGAGTATGGCATTTGGATTTCATCCCGTTAATGCGTCGCGCTTTCGGCTAAAATTGCTTTTGAACTTTGTACATCGTACAGTCGGAAATGCCAGCTTTAGCGGCGTGTAAAATTAAACTTTTAAAGCCGCGTTTGTGCAAAACCGTCCTTGAATTAAGCGCGATTGTTCGGTGGAAACACCCAATTCTTTAATTGGTAACTTGAAAATAATGCGCGAAAATAAAGTTCATTCGAAGGGAAGCGGCGATAAATAATAATTCTGTTTATAATTAAACGGCTTCAGTTGCAGCGTTGGACGATTCAAAATAACGTTTGATAACGATTTTGTTTGCATTGTATTTTAGGTTTGCGGCTTTGGAATCGATCAAACACGAAATATCCACGTATAATTGGCGTTTCGTAATAATTATGCTGGTAGTTGCAGAGGACACTACCGGTTACGGGAATTGTTTATTTAGTTAGATATTGCTATTTATTTATCTACCTACACAGACTGCAATTAACAGGTTTTTGATTTAAATCTTTATCGAAATATATTTATATTTATTCGACATCGATTTATCAGTACTGCATGTAATTATAAAAGCATCCCTTTGTTCTGTTTATGATTGTTAATTAAATAAAATTATTTTTGTTTATAAATCTTCTGTTTTATTCGAATTAATCATTAAAATATGGATAAAATTCGTATTTTTGGGTCTCCTAAACTTTCATCAAAACTTGAAAATGCGATTACTTAATTAATTTCTAGTTTCCCCCAGACCGGTTTAATTACAAAACCGGATGAATTATGAATTTCCGCGAGTTAATCTTTGTTCTCGCAACTAACCTAATGAAATTTTCGAATCAAATAAAAGCCTGCATCGAACTCAAAATAACGAACGACCCTCGTAAGATTCCTATCCGAATAACAACTACACAAATACATTACAAGGCGCATCTCTGATGTAGCAATATCAAAGGAATTTTCCGACGGTTTTCTTTTACCTGGGGGCAATTTCGGCGAACGGATAGCGCTTCGAATTTCTCCGAGATTTTCCAGCTGCGCGTTTTCGCGGTACTTTGTACATTACCCGGCGCTCGCTTCCCGTCACCCTGGAAAATGATAAATAAAGCGCGTCGCGTGAATAAATGATTCTAGAACGGGAGACGGGCGGGAAAATGCATGTACTTACGGGATCGATTATATTGTTCTATCGATTGCGAAGATTTATTACCGTCCCGCATAAATTTCCACCGGTTTTGACGAAGGTGCGGCCGAAGGAGGAAATGAATTTCGAACGCTTTCAACGCCCGATGGAATCATTCTGTACACACACGTACGAATTTAAATTAAAATAGACCGCTCGTAAAGTCGCTCGATTAAATTTTAAACCGTCTCGGTTAGGGCGAAGAAATGCAATAACAACTCGAAATTCTAATTGGAAAAGTTTAGTAAAAATTCCGCCGAAGGTCGTTCCGTTTAATAGACGAGTTCTTCGTTCGGAAAAAAAACTCCTCTTCCGGATTGTTATTTCAATAATTCCGGGAAACAACCGGGGGGAATTACACCTGCTGACTCGCCTAATCTCGGCACTTCTCGAACTCCAGCAAGCGAAATTTCATTCAAATTGGCACTAAAAACATCGAAAATTACACGTGATTTATACTTAAAACACCTTTTACGATCGCCATTCGCGCAAAATTATTTACTATGATTGTAAAACTTTACTCCGGATGATGAAAATTTAGCACTATAACACCGTTTTTAATAGACATTTTGAAATCAAATTACCACATTAGCAGGTCATTAAAAATGGAAGAGATCATTAAAAAACATTGCAATGCACGCAGTTTTTTTTGAGAAATAGTTCGAATTCCTCCATCTCGAACACAATAGATAAAACGTCCTCATCTGCCAGGAATTCCGAAATCCAGACGGTTATGATTGGAACAAAGCTCAACGATCTTGTTATTATACCTCAGAGAATGAGGAAGAGGTTTCTCGGAGAAGCCATTCATTCGTTACAATTGCAAATGGGGAAATCTTCTCTCCGCGCCCCACAGGGATGGAATAAGACGATTTCCTTTCGGTTTGGTTGTTCCTATTAATCCTATTTTCACGCCATACTTGAAAAAAGAAAAGCAAATTCGAGTTTGTTTAAGTACCATGCTTATAGACACCAACGTTCCCTCTTCGCAAATATTCTCACGTATTAATTAATGAATTTTTACGTGCTTTTAAACAACTACAATATAGCGAAATAAGCAGCTCGAATTCATCGAGTTTTCATTTCGCATAACGAAGTTAGAACGCAAACAAACGGGAGATATCTGAATCTGAATAAAGCCATCAAATCAGCAATGAGGTTGCGATGTATGTGTGTTTCTTATCGCAATAAAGCTTTCATTTTCTTGATTACGAGCATTTTCTCCATTCCGGATACACGTTTACTCGCGTTTCTTGCCACTCTAATCAAACGATAACTCTCGAAATGTATGCTCGAATTGTTATACGCGCCATAAATCCCAGCTTTACCGTATTATATGCAATAAAAATATAGGTTTGCTTTTAATCGGTATTAGATTTTATACAGGATATTTCACGAAGAGCTTGAACTAACTGTAAAACACATTAATCTAAGACTGACAGTTTTACATTGTTGTTATGGAGTAACTAAGAAGATTCTTTAAATTGACAGATTTACATTGTTGTTATGGAGTAACTAAGGAGATTGTTTCAATTGACAGATTTACATTGTTGTTATGGAGTAACTAAGGAGATTGTTTAGGTTAAAGAGAGTCATTTACGAGCATCTATTAACGAGATGAATTTTCTTTTGGAGAAACCAATTTCAGTGTAAATTATTTCTCTTTTACTTTGCGGCTTTGGTAGACTTTCGGCAAATATTTGCTTGATCGAAAGTTCGATGCAAACATTGATAATACAAACATATTTTGCTCTCCGAGGATGCTTCTGTCGGTTGATACATTTATATTGACAAAACGGGTTTAATGGTAACTACTTGATGGATTTTTTTTATCGTTTCGTTACATTTAAAGAAAACCAATTGGTCTTTTATTAATAAAACGGGAAGAAAAGCGAATGGAATATGTGGAAGGGTGGAAGTAAAAACGTTAAGTTGATGGATAATAGCGGCGGTAATTTCATTTAGAAACCATTAGAGATAATTGTATTTTCTTTATCGCTTTCCCCTGGTACAAATCCTGAATTTTATTTATTTATTTACTAATATAAAAAGTTTAAACTTAATGCATGAATAAAATGTTTATAGCGAGTACTGATCGATAATTTATTTGCTACATTTAATTCCGACAAACTTTTATAAGAAAACTTTGAGCAAGAGAAAAAATAAAATAAAATTGTAGGTGAAAAACGGCGAGAATTCCAAAAGAATTTTGCCGGTCTACTGAACGTCGATAAAGAAATTTTTATCACAAATCGAAGTTTCGTTTTTTTTTTTCGCTCGAATAAAAGTCTGACGCAAATTAAATCGCCAAAAAATATGGCACTTTTCGAATAAAATTTCGCGGAGATATCAGATCTCGCATATCTCAAGTTTTAGCGATTTCGCGTTAACGCGATAAATCCACAATATAGCGTATATCGTAAACTCGAAATTTTACGTCCGACGCAAACGTAAAACATTGAGCAAACATATAAACATTTACAATGCCTAAATATTTTACGCGTCAACCAGGAATACGATGTTGTTTTAGCGGGAAACGCTTTAACATTTATATTTCATGCGATTCGACGTCGCGACGATTCCCAAACGCGACATTAATGAGCGCAATTTTCAGGTGTGTGCACCTAAATAACTAATGATTTTTTTTTACTCCGTAAACAATTTTATTTTTCCACTCCATGCCGTTAAAACAGACGTAAAGCTGCGCGATTTGTCCTTATACAAATCCAGGAAACACTTTCCTTTGTGCCTTTTTGAGATATTCAAAAACCGTTCATGAATATTTAATGCAGCCATCTTGTCATGTTACTCAAGAGTGAACCTTTATGTTAGATGTGTCCAAATTTATGAATCAATTTATTATAAGCTGTATGATAGAAGAATGACAGCTGAATGACAGACGAGTGACAGATGAATGACAGATGAATGACAGAAGAATAATTTTTTGGACGGCACTGTGTAGCATAAAACGCAATAATATTGCATCAAACTACATTCGCGTTATTCCGGAAAAGTGCTCCAAAATACTCTATAATGCACAGGTGAATAAATACAAATAAAAATGCAAGAGTTCAAAGAATTTCTGCAATTCATCGAAGTGCAATAATAAAAATAAACCACTCAAGACGTCGCGAAATTGCTTCGATATTCCAGAAATTCGTTGGAAAATAAAATTTTATCCAGAAGCGGGGAGAGCCTGGAACGTTTCCCTTTAATATTGCACGGGCTCCTGTATTGTCACGTCCACCGTTCGAATCAACGACCAATTCCTGTTTATCGGAATAGATAAATCCTGATGAGCTAAACGATAAGTCGGGAAAAATATCTAAATTAAAATTCAATCAACACCTGCCTTAGAACATTGATTGGAATTGCACAGAATTCTAAGACCTATACAGGGTGGTCACTGAAAATTTTGCCCGTATACACTTCTCTTCGAAAACATTGGAATTAGTCATGGTGAACTTACAACGGTCTGATTCTAGGTGTTATTACAGCCAATTAATTTTTTTGACTAGATAATATTGGTAGAAAACATTCGAGTAGAATGACCCTATAATAGACTAAAAATATCGAACAGGCAATATTGAAAAAAAAAAATAAATAGACCTATCGAGACAAGGGTAAAAGTATAAATAAATCCCGTCCGCCCCGAAATTAGACTTATTTTCGTTCCCCGCCCCCTGATGGTAATCAGATCAACCGGCATTAGGCCGATAAATCGCGTCTCTAAACCGTCCCCCCTAAATGTATTCCACCTCCTCGGGGGAGTCCGCATCGGTATTCCTTTGGCAGCTCTTAACGTCGCTAAATTTACATAGTCAGTCTCAGCCCTTTCCCTAAACATCGCGAATCCTCCGCAGTTTTCGCTGAGCTTAGCGATGCTTTCCATTCGAACAACACTGGAGTGCACTTAGAACGCTTTTTTCCTCTCTTTTTTTACTCCGCTCCGGAGAATTTTTATTTTGTAGCCGAATCGCTGATTTCGGTTAATAGCCGGATGCTTTGGAACGGCGCGCCGCATAAAGTGGATTAAAAATAACATCGCCTTTATTCCTGCACAGAGTGCTTACGAGATAACTAATAGCTCGTTAGAATTGCCCGTTAGAATTTTCCGGGGACGGGAAAACCCGCGCGACGCCGCTGTCGTCGCTTTGGATGAATATTAGAATGAGATTTTAAATTGGAAAGTGACTTGTATGGTTTTATTAAAGGCCGCTGCGGTATTCCGATCGAGCAATCGAATTCTACGATAATAGAAGAATTGAATTGGATTTCCTTTTAGGTGAACTTTTATTTTTTATTTTGGAGGAAATTCTCAATTATAGGGCCGTTAAATTGACGAGGAAACCAGACAGTTATGCAAAATATAGGGCGACGCTTTTTAAAAAAAATTAGAGCTCATCGCAAATTGTGTCATTTCTATAATTATTATAAAAATAAAAAGGGAAGTTGTTCTTATTGTTCGTCTTATTATTAAGATCTATTTGTCGTCGAGTCGTAAAAATTTAACGATTTCCTTCGGCTCAATAAACACGGCAATTTCGATAATTTTAACGCCTGTATATGTTCTCGGCATTAAAGCAAATCAGACAATCAAAGCATAAAGCTAACAATGTATTTTATGCGTCGAGTCGAGGAAGAGAATTCGACGTTAATATTATCGAAATAAAGTCTCACAAACGACCCAAAATTTATCCGTACGTTCGAATTTACATTTCGCGTTAGTCGATACGAGATTTAATATCGATACAATTTAATTCTTCGTGAAATTAACTGCACAATACACGCTCTATTTACACGTTTTGTTTACAAAAGGATGTGTACGCTTAATTAGACGATTTCGCTCACGATTAACTGGCTAGTTTGGTTTTTGGGCTAATGGTTTATAAGCATTATTAATAGCACTGTTTATTCCACGAGCCTCTAATTTAACGTAACCAGATTTAAACATTAGTCGTAACGTACATGTAAATGAAAAATATATGCTTATCGCTAATGGAAATGCGGGTATTTAACGGATATTTATTTATTATCATGATTATTCTTCTAATAACATAGATGCCGTCCATTACGCGGAGTATTATTAAAATACGAATATATTGTAATAAGGTAATGGATGCAGATACCTAATGTGTACACTGTGTGCCGGTTGGAAATTGGAAATACATTAAATTGTTAATTCATTGAATTTTTCAAAAACTGAAAGCATTTTATTCAATTGCATTTTTAGAAAGGCCGAAGATTTTTCTCATTTTTTTCTATATTCCTCAATACTATTCAGACATTAGAAAATATTTTTTTCCTCCTATACGCTTCGTTTCTGCATCACTATCATCAATTTTTCACATATTGCCCAGATTTTTAAAATTTTTGCTACCTAACTTAACTTCCCAAAATCATCATCCTCTTTGGAAGAAATCGGATAGCAGAGGAGAAGTGGCAACAACGCGCTCATGACACGACGGGAATCGTTAGTAACTACAACGAATAACTCACCTACAGTAGTCAAGACGGTCAAGGAGTAGAGAAAAGCCTTGGCGAAACTCCATTCGTAATTATCCGCGGCGTTTTTCCCGCCGAATTTGGCCACTTGCAGCGGCTGCTGGTGCGCCATTTCCTCGGTCATCGACTTCAGGAGCTCGTCCTGAAACCTCGTGATCTCCTGGGCCGCCAATCTGGTCCAGTTGTCCCTTTGTGGAAACGCAAAATCCAAACAAACATCCGCAACAACGACTCTCCAACTCACCTGTAGAGAATGTTCAAACTAACGGTGATGTCCCAGATATTTTCGACGGTCTTAGCCCGAGCCTCGTCGGTCTTCGCCTTGAGCTCGGCGCTGTGATTGGACTTCCTGGCGGAGCCGTTGATGCCGGTTGAAAGGGACGTGGTGGCCAGTATCTGGTGCTGATAGCTGGCACCGCCTTCGATCGAGAGGAAAATCACCGAGCCTATTAGCGTGTAGCCGAACAGCAGTACGCATATGCCTGGAAACGAGAAGGCGCCGGTTTATTTCTAATGAAATTTAATAAAAATGCGACGGTATCGAGCGAGATACTGCGCCTAATTGCTCCGAGTGATGCGGAAGACTTGAATAACTTCGCCCGAGTTACACAATAAAGCCGAATAAAAAGAAACATTAAACTCGCATCGCGTATAAACGTGGCGGAAAATCATCGACATTAACTAAAATTGTAAAAGTTCCGGAAGAGACATCCGTCTTTATCAAGCGGGCGTTATATAAAAAAATGCCGGGCGACCGGGAATTATTACTTTTTGAATTTCTGCTTTCGTATAATTAAAGAACGATATTTCTGCTGAACTTTGACTGTAAGGTTTAAACAGTAGAAACTTCAAATAGTTGAGTATATAGGTAATATAAGTTCGTGAAAACTTCGCAAAAATTAGATTTAAGTGCAAATAAACTCGAAATTTGCTATTAAAAAGTTTTAAAATTTATGCGATGATACTTTTATACACCTGACTATTAATATCGAGATAGTGAACCCCATATGTACGTAACACAAAGATATAAATCGTCAATCGCCATCCATTATTAATTAATATTTAATACAGAAAATGACCAACGCAAATATCGGGCTCATAATTTATGAAAATGCGATATAAACAAAACCAAACAGTATAATGAATTACTTTTTTATGCAAAAACTCTAAATTTATAATGCAAATATTAATATTCGACTATGTCGAATTAATAATTCGTTACATCGGTTATGCAGTTAATAACGAGTGCATTAACATAATGATACACATCGAGATTTATCTGTTATAATATACATATTTGATTTATATTGGTAATCTTTAAGTAAATTTTTTTTTGTATTACCTAAATTGGTCGCCAATCCAGCCAGGAAAGCCTTGCTTCTCTTTCTCGCCTTCTTCCCGAAGCAACAGCACGATTTCTCCTCTTTCTTCTCCTTACCATCGCGTTTCAACGAATTCGTATTTTGCTTGGACACCGTCGGGTAAGCGTCGTAGCAAAAATGTCCCGCGTCCTTTTCCATGACTGGGGCCTAGGGAAATGCCTCCATCGGAGCCGATCGATCAACAGCGTTTCACCAGGTTTACATCTGCAAAGAACACCAAAAATCACCCGGTATACTAAAGAAGTTTCGCTTTAACCCTCGTAGCGAAAACGGGCTGCGGCCTGGATTGAATGACAGCGACGTTGATTATAATAACGACAAAGTTAAACTGGTAGAGACAACAAAGTTATTTGGAATTTAATTAAGTTTATGACGGATTTAGAAATATTTGAGCAACACCAACATCATCTACTAAAATATATACCACTTTAATTTAAATTACGGAACCCATAACCCAAAGGTTTAGGAATTTCATTGCTTCATTATGATACTATAAAATGCATACTTTGTGCGGTTTATTTGTTATTTTTAGAATAGGTCGGGGTGGTGTTGAATTTAGTTGTAATATATTTTTTCAAGTCGAATCGCATGCAGAACACCGCGCCCTATTTACCCTCATGCATACATCCCCATTTAATTAAGCGTCCTTTATCAGGTTGTTCGGAAACAATTCGAACTGGCGTTTTATCTCGCGAACATCCGTCTACAAAGCTCCGTACCTCTTCGAGTGTAAATCAACTAAACATGTCCTTTAACGGCTCGAGCACACATCACAAGATCCCCCGTACACTTTGTGCGCCCTAATCAAACAAGCCGACCTCTCTGTAAACTGCCTGCACACCTTCCCTGTACCGAAACTCCATCAGCGGTCTTTCGGAAGGCGGGAAAACGACCTGCTACCTGTCGAATTAACGCGACGTTTCGTTAATGGGCTTTTCGCGAGCGCAGCCGGGAAATCCCCTAACAAAAATTTACCAGTCGCCCGTTAAAATCGATCAAAAACATTGTAATGATACATACTCGAGTACAAATATATGTACATAAATTGAATGGTGGCCGGATGGAGAAGCCCATGTAAGAGAGGTAATATTATTTCTGGCGGGTCAACCTCGACACTTATGACAGTAATAATTCGGAGCACGAACGTCACGGACTCGACTCGAACGCAAACAATACGCCCCCATTATCCCTTTCGTCCGGGAAAAAACATTCCCTCATCTCATAATGTCGAAATAAACGAGTCAAGTAGTGAAAAAGCACCGGCATAATTCCCGCTGCCGTTTCGTCTACCCATATACACTCTCGAATTATCACTTTGTATTAGCGGGCAGGGACGGGAGGAGTTTTTTTTTTGATAGAAAAAATTGTTTATTGTGCATTACTCGGTTTTTATGCGTGCATTCAACAAGTGCTGGCTGAAGGTGATTTGTATGTGGAAAAATAATTATTTTTCTATCACAAAATGTACAAAAAAGTAAAGAATAGAAGAGTACAGAGTTGGGCAAAAGTCCGGAATAAAATTATTATCTTTTGAACCAGCAATTTAAACAAAAAACGCCGAAACACGTAAATTGATTTTATATTGTACGGATTTGTTGCCAATAAAATGATTTTTTTTTCTTCAACCCCTTAGTTGCAACCCTACCCAACTTTATTTTTTCAAATGTAAAGGTATGTCGTGTGTAGGGTCATTGAAAAGCCCGTGAAAAATGGAATCTAAAACATACCTTTTTTTTTATTTTTCTCATGTTGTTATTTGGAAATGAGCAAAAATTTCTTTTAAAAACAAAAAAGTTACAAATACCTTTTTAGTGCTATCGACGTAGCAATGTTGAAAATGCCCTTCACCATCTATTTGACAGGCTCCCAGGCATTGGTAAAACGTAATATCGATAGCATATCTTTAATTCTGAATGACTTTTTAATAAAAACAGGCGAACCTTTGGTAAAAAAAAACTTGTACAAAAATGCAACACCTGTTTTCCTTTTTGAAGTTCACTGATCAACAATGGCTTAGATTTGAACCCATTTTATGTTTTTGTTTTTTCTTAAAACATAAATTTCAACGAATGTTGATGCTAAATTGCCTTATCAGTTTTAAACGGTAAATCAATAAAATTTGGTGTGCTGCCTGACCAGGCTCGCCTGCTTTTAATAAAAGTTTATTCAGAATTAAAGATAGGCTACCGATATTAGGTTTTACCATTGCCTTGGAGCCTGTTAAGTAGAGTAAGCCTTAATTCACACGTCGATACCACTAAAAAAGTATTTGTAACATATTTGTTTTTAAAAGAATTTTTTGTCCATTTTCAAATAACAACATGAGAAAAATAAAAAAAAAGGTATGTTTTAGATTCCATTTTTCACGGGCTTTTCAATGACCCTACACACGACATACCTTTGCATTTGAAAAAATAAAGTTGGGTAGGGTTGCAACTAAGGGGTTGAAGAAAAAAAAATCATTTTATTGGCAACAAATCCGTCCAATATAAAATCAATTTACGTGTTTCAGCGTTTTTTGTTTAAATTACTGGTTTAACAGATAATAATTTTATTCCGGACTTTTGCCCAACCCTGTATAATAGGGAGTAAAGAATAATCAACAACAATTAGATCAAGGGTGGATGCGATGGGGTTGTTAAAATTAATAAGGATGCACGTTTCAGTGAATTTATATATTGTAATTAGTAGTAATTATCGTACATATTCTTTTGGTTTTTGAGCTTAATGTTGGTGTATAAAACATGAAAAATAAAATGCTCGAATATGATATCACGAAAGCTCCGAGCTGGATACTCACTGTTCATAAAACATCGACATCGGAATGACATTTAATTTGTTTTCTGTCATAATGAGTTTCCCGTAAAGTAAAAGGTCAAAATTCGCATTGTTACAACTTCATTTCGTTTAGAATTGTTAGAAAGTCTTTCCAATGGACAGGTGTACGACTTTTTTTATAAAACTATGTATTTCTTTCCTTTAAAAGGGCTATATTTCCTAAAATAATGAATATTTTCAGCAACTGAAAACTGTTTTGAGTTCCAATGACTTATTTCTATTCATATATCTGATTAAAAACCGCATATCTCACATCGTTCTCCTCTCCATTTGCACACAATACTGTAAGTAATGACCAGGATAAAAATCCCATGCATATATTGAATCGGGAATGGCTTGAATTAAAAATCGTTTTCGAACGCGAATCGAAAAATCGCGTTTTAATTTTTCATTAGCCAATTTTTTCGCGGCTATTTGTCCGTAACTAGCGAATCGTTTTCGCGACTGTTACGACGCTTTTATGCTGATTTAACAGTTTCATTAACTCTTTTCTACGCCGAATTTCGATAAACGGGTTTTTCCGCGTTTTCGTTTTTCGCCCCTGTCAATGGGAAACTGCGACCGAATTTAAATAGAACGCGCGGGATTTTTTTTAGCGCGCAAACAAATTCGGACCGTTGCCGAGCTTAGAGGAAATTAACCCTAAATTTTTAATTACTATTCGGGGCCGGGATTCGGATTAATTAAGAGAAAAACGTCCCGTTTCGAAAAGCATCCATCCGCGTTTTTTCCTGAAATTCAATTATTCAAGCGATCTTTTTTTTAATTATTATTACACAATTAACTACCTATTTAGTATTTACGCCGTTCAAATAAAGTGGCGAAACGAACTTTTAAAATTAGCTACGCCTAATTACTTTTCATTAGATTTCCGAAAGTTTACAACAAACTTTTAATTATGCCTTCGTGAGTCAATAAAGGCAAAAGTTTTTAATGAAGCATTTAACGTAAATAAGCTAAAAGCAGGTGTACCAACAACCTACAATCCCTCACAATGTGCCTTTAATAAGTTTATACAATGTACGTTTCTCCCAATAATAAAAACACGCTTCCACCATTAGAAACCGAAAGTTAACTTCGAACACAATCGGCCTATTTACTCGGCGAAGGAAAGGGACATTACCCGGACCAGGAGGTCCCTCGCTGGACGCGTCCCCGCGCCCATTGTGTCCCGAGCAAACATTACACACGCTCTTAATTGGTCCTCGAGGGAGTCCCCCAGAAGGTTACATCGAGTGGGTACGATGCGAGCGCTCTGGTGCTCGCCGTTTGTATTCTTCCAGAAGCATATATGATGGTAAACGGTTGTTATTAGAGGAGGTGTATAGGCGCAATTACGGTGAAATCGAGGGCATGTTTTGTGGATACAGGGTGTCGCATTAATAGAGGTGGTTTTGGGGTAGGAAGAATGGTTAGAAAAACGGTTGAAAGATGGCAGTTTTTGCTCGAACATCATCAACCGAATTCTCTTAAATTGGGTCCTGTTTTTAACGGATTTCGAAATATTTCCGCGCGTTAAATCCAAACATTATTCCTGTGGTAGAAACCAAACAGCAAAAATGACTATCTTCCGCAATAGTTAGTAAATTATTGTCCCAAAAAATGTTTGTTTAACGTGTCGATTTTTGATTTATTCGATTTTCGAGCCGGGCTTTCCATTGCGAACAGATAACCGTACGTTACGTATAAGATTTCCCTTTATAAGTCAATTTTATGGGCTTTATATTGACAGAAATATAATGGACAAACCGAATTCCGCCGTCCGAACCGCCAATTTCTGAGGATTAAATCCGGCGCCCGGAGATTCGTTACCCCACTATACACCGTTATTTATGCCGTATACAGATAAAAAAATGCTACTTCTACTATGCACAAGCACCAGAAACATACCTTCTTAACGCTCCTACTATTTGCAACTACCATTATTTCTACTCTACATACGTTTGTTATATTTTTACAAGCTTTTCCTCAATAAAACAGCTCTATTGTTTACCTGCTGATGCCGGTAAGTACACTCTAGTTGGGCATTTTCAACGGTAGCTTCTTGTAGAGTACGAGTACATTACATTGGATAATTAGATGGCAAAAAACCAGCCGTTTACTGGCAGTAAATGGTGCATTTCCGCGCCGGGAAGCTGCGAACGGTTAAGCCGTTTCATTTAAATTCTTGATGTTCGGGAAGGTCCAGACATGTTTATACGCGGATGCGGTTCAGTAACCGGCATATCCGACTAACTCCAAGAGCTCAGGTTCATTTATAATTTCGTGTTATGGAAACGCGGTAATTGGAGCCGAAATAG